ACCGAGGCTGCAGTACTGCTGTGCGATCATGGCTCACTGAAGCCTCGAGCTCCTGGACTCAAGCGATCCTCCTACCTCACTCTCCCAAGTAGTTGGGCCTACAGGCACGCATTACCAAAACCAGCTGATGTTTTATTTTTTCTAGAGATGAGGTCTTGCTATATTGCCCATGCTGGTCTTGAACTCCTGTCCTCAAGCAATCCTCCCGCCCTCAAGCAATTCTCCTGCCTTGGCCTCCCAAAGTGCTGGAATTACAGGTGTAAACCATCGTCTATTATCTTCTTGTCAACGTTCATTCATTCTCTAAAAATACACCGTCTGTCGACTATATGCTAGGCACATCTATTTACTGATAATGATATAAAATTAACTTATATTTAAATTCCTAAGAAACAAAAGAAAAATATTAAAACTGACCAAAAAAAAAAATATTAAAACTGGACAGATGGTACACAGGAATAACTGAAGTTTGAGAAACAGTTAATAAAGCTAAACTAACATATCACACTGTGTGTCACCCTGCCTGCTTATCCATTTCCCTAACTTGTTTATATGGGAACCTTGACTTATTTTTCTCTGTCTCCTTGGCTAAGTGCCTGGGGCCTAAATCCCAGAGTAAATTGAGAAAATTAGAGTTTTGATTCAAGGCTCTCTGAACTACTTACTATTTTAACAAAGTTAAAGCATTAAAAAATTAAAAGATAGTTAAAATCTTGCAAAACTGTATAATGTATTGTTTGGATAATGATATTATTGGATAATTATACTATCAAATTATTATTTGATAATAATACCTTCCTTCCTAGTGATGAAGATGAAAAATATCATTTAATCTAGAGATTGTTAAACACAATTAACATAACCCTGTAGATTACAGAACCTATTTAAATTTCCATAGCTAAAAAAGAGAAATCCCTTGATTTAGTGCTATTATTATCCACTAGAGGGTGCTCATTCAACTATTTTAAAAGTTGTTTGGAAATGAAAAATAAATCAATTTATGGAAATGCACCAAAGTATGTTTCTGAGTAATTTTATTTTTATTCTTCAGAGATGCTAATGAGGAGCTGATGGCTTCCTATTGTATTCTGGCAAAGGCTCTTCCTTGTATCTCATAGAAGGGCAATTTATGTCCAGATCTGGTATTCACTGCACCTCAGATAGGAAATCCTTTTGCGTTTCTGGTGGAGCATCAACAGGCTAAAAATCCTGAACGTAAGGAGTCCTTCATACTACGGGATCTGAGCATACATTTGGAAGGATGCAACTCCAGATCCTTCACAGCAGCACAGAAGGTGTAGGAAAAGGCGTGGACTTTTAAGTCACAGGACTGAATTTGCCATAACTACAAGATACCTATCAATTGTTCTAACCTCTGACTTTAAAGGGTCTAAAGGTTACTTCTTTACAGAGATTTGCACAGATTAAGGCTGAAAACGTGTGTGAAGCCAACATATAGGACAATATAGAAATCTAGATACTAGTTCATTTCTCTCTTACCTAACCACCACCTGGGACTACACCCCTCACAGATTATGGTAATATTATCTGATTGTGTGTGTGTGTGTATTTTTTTTCCTCTCTGTATCTGAACTCTGGGTGAGGAGAGTGTCCAAAAAAAAAAAGATGTTGCAGACAGTTCAGACTTATACATTCTGTTTGTTTTGCTTTCTATAAAGTACATGTATAATTTCCAAAGTTAATCAAGATTTCTAATTAACTCTTACATTAATCACACATTTATTAAGTATCCATTAATTATCCAAGTAATCATACATGGATTTGAGGGCAGGATATATACAGTCCATTTTTGTATTCTCATTGCTTAGCACAATGCCTAGTACACAAACACTGCCAAAACTGGGAATAAGCAGAAATGGTTGCTAAAATAAGCAAACAGGTAAGTACTAAAGATGGCTGTTGCAATATGCCAGATAAGAGACTGTGATGGTCTAAGTGAATGGCAGTAGTACAGCATTTTTTTTTAAAAGATCCAAATTAAAAGGGGACAGGGTAGTTTAGTCTCAAAGACAACTCTCACTTCTGACACCAACTACAAGTTCAGGGATTCCCAGGATGATTCTCAGGTTTGATTATTCACTGGGACACAACCGAACTCACTGAAAGCTGTTATAATCACAGTTATAGTCACAGTTTATTACAACGAAAGCATACAGATTAAAAACAATCACAGGAAGAGACTCATAGTGCAGAATGCACAACAACTCAAAGCATGAAGCTTCCAGTTGTCCTCTCCAATGGAATCACCAACGAGGTTAACTTTTGCTGGCAGTAATGTATGACAGTATGCACAAGAGTACTGCCAACCAGGGACACTCACCAAAGCCTTGGTATCCACTCTTTATTGGGGCTTGGTCACGTACATATGATTGACTGTCCATATAGCTTTTAGTCGCAAGCCCTTCTGGATGTTGAGTTGACACCTGTGAACCCCAGGCCTCAACATAAATCACATCGTTAGATTATCAGGTGTGACCTCAACACCCAGGTAAACAAAGACACACTTATCAGGAAGGACATTCCAAGGGCTTAGAGATTGCCACCCAGGAGCTGAGGGCAGTTGCCAGACCTATGTTTATATAAGGTTCATTTTTTACTACAAAGGCAGTGAAGGTATAGAGAAGAAAGGAGGAAACCAGACTGATGGTGATACACTTAATTCAGATAAAATATACAGGTAGTAAAGGCAACATAGGTTTGGAAGGGAAAAATAATAATACACTTTTGAGTTTGCCAAGTAACTGAAGTTGCTAAAAAACAGAAGTATGGGACTGAATCTTGGGAAGAACCTCACAGCTTGAGATGACAGCATAGTGATAAAAGTCATGCCATGAATGGGCTTACCTGAGGAGAACATGAAGGCAACAAATAGAGCAAACATTGAACCGGCGTAAACTTCAATTTTAAAGGACTGCTCAGAGGATGACTAGACAAGAGAGGTTGTTAAAAAAGAGCAAAACTAAACACTAAATATTCCTCACTACTACAGGAAACTAAAAATATTGAATAAATTACTTTCTGAATAGGCCCAAAAAAAAAAAAAAAAACACTTGACTTTCCCTGGAAGTAGACTCTACAAGTACATTATGTCTTGCAAATAAGCAGTTAAAAAACAAAATACGTCATTCTGTTCTTATTTCCCCATACCATCTTGCACGCTCAGACTACTTCCTGAGCTGAGAAACCTTTATTTTTGCCTACGGCAAATTTACTGCATGTTTATGCAAAACTTAAATTACCATGAAAACTCAACAATAGGGTAGATGAAGCAGAAGGCACAGCTAATTAAATGGATTTCAGGTTCACTGCTCATTTTGTTTAGGATCAAATAAAAGTATATGACTTTCTGCGTACACTAAGTAGAAAAATAAGTCATTATAGAATATGAGTAGCCAGACTGCTACAAAGTCTACAGAAAAAAAAAAAATACCTCTTGAAATCTTGTCTTTTTTTTTAAATCACATCCCAGATATGAGACAGTATAGAACAAGGATGAGCTGTGGGAGTTCTTGAGTCAGACAACCTAGGCACAAGCCTCAGTTCTGCCATTTATTAGCTGAGTGAACCTGGGCAAGTTACTTAAACTCTTAACGGGTTTGTTCGGAGGATGATGTAAGTCAGCATTGTCTGGCATACAGTAAGCATGCAATAAGTGTTTGGTTATTTGGATAGTCTACTTGAGTACCTTTGTATACTGAAAACCTCATGAATTTATTACATACTTTATTATCCAGTTTTTCATCACTGTGACAGAAAATACCCATTTGAAGATTTTCAATACTTTTGAAATAAAACCCACAAATATAAACGGTTTGCATATCACAGCATTTACCAATTTCTATAACAGCTTAATTGTCCTAAAATTATCTCAGAATCACCTCAGACTTTGTGATCTTTATTAGCCAAAACTTAGTTTTAGAAAAATGCTTAGAACTGCCCTTTGGAAAGGAGAAATGCTTAAGAGTTGATCCAAGAAAAAAACGGACAAGCCAACCATCTGAAAAACTAGTTTGGACCAAGTTTCAGATATTATCTGTAGCCATGAAACTTTCTTCCTCACGCAACATGTAGGGGACGTTTGCCCTAACTTCATGAACAGTGCACCTTCTTCCCTCTACCTAGAAGGTCTAGTTCTTCTTGTCAAAGTAAATCCTATAAGTTGCCAAGACCCAGCTACCCTTCAGGCCTTTGCTGGTACCCTCAGGCTTTGTTAGATACTTGGATCACAGTATTTACAAATTAGTTTATATAGTTGTAACCACACCCATCTCCTCACTCCTCCCATAAATATTAACTAGACGGCATGTAAACTGGACATGCAGACGGTCTTGCTCTGTATTCCAGAAAGCGTTATATAGTGTTATCAGGCACTCAATGTCAAGAACCCATACAGTAACCCATACATTAACAGCAGCTTACCAAACAGACAAATCACATTTCTCCCACTTCCATGCGTTAAACATTCCTTATTTGTTTTTATAGTATATTTAAATAATTTTGTGTGTATATGCACGTGTTCAAAATATACCCAGCCATCCACATAGGAAAGAAATATGATTACCGAATAAAGTGTACCTTTGCCTAAGATAAAACAGTGCTGGCCTTAAAGATTTGTTGTATTATCTTTTAAATTTCAGAAACCAGTCAATTATTCCAAGTTTTATGGTTTTTCTTTTACAGTATAATTAATTTTGCCAAACAAGTGGACATTCCTATTTCAAGGATAAAAGCAATTGCTCAAAGCAAAGGCATAACAATTTGTGCTTACCATCCCTACAAAGTTTTCTTTCCCCTTTCCTTCATGCTATGATTCAATCTATTTCTTCTTAGTTGTTCCTTTCTATAGCTTCAGTAGGAAAGGGCAACCAGATTTAGATTCCTTTGGCTTTTATACTTATAGCATCCCTCCCACAAAAAGGAGGACTACATATTGTACTTTGTCTATCCCATCACAAAGCATTGAGATGAATTATACTAACCTTACTGTATCCCAGGCATCTCCAAGTTCTTTGGAATACTGTTTTTCAAAATGATCCAACACAACTTTGCAAATCTGTTTTGCAAGCTTCCCCTCTGATTTTGCTTTCAGCTATGACGATAAGAAAAAGTTGCTGACACACAGTGATATTATTACAAATTTATTGAACGTCAACATTAGCAAGGTCTTTTTTTTTTTTTTCAAGACAAGAACACTTTTTTTGGATAATTACTAGTTCTTGAAATGGAAGCAATACCTTACATGTACCAAAACTGTACTACATTACCTACTTATGAAAAAGCAAGGTTTTTCCAAATAATTATTTTCCAAACGTGAAGCAAAGGTTAAAACGGAATCTACTGGGGCTGAGTAAACTGTCAAAAGGAACAAAATTAATTTTAAAAAGTCACTGTAAGGGCTGGGTGGGTGGCTCACCCCTGTAATCCCAGCACCGTGGGAGGGGGAGGCGGGAGGATCACATGAGGTCAGGAGTTCAAAACCAGGTTGGCCAACACGGGAAACCCCATCTCTCCTAAAAATACAAAAATTAGCCAGGAGTGGTGGTGGGCGCCTGTAACCCCAGCTACTCAGGAGGCTGAGGTGGGAGAATCGTTTGAACTCAGGAGGTGGAGGCTGCAATGAGCCGAGATCACGCCACTGTACTCCAGCTAGCTCATGCTTTGCATGGAAGAGGCGACAGGATCATTTCCCAGTTCAAGACCAGAATGGGAAATATATCAAGGACCTGTCCCTACGGAAAGTAAAAAAAAAAAAAAATTAGCCAGGTGTGGTGGCCCGCTCCTGTAGTCCCAGCTACTAGGGAGGCTGAGGCTGGAGGATCGCTTGAGCCCAGGAGTTCAAGGTTGCAGTGAGCGATGATGGAGCAGCTGCATTCCAGCTTGGGTAACAAAGCAAGACCTTGTCTCTAAATGAAACTAAAAAGTCACCGTGGATGCTGACATCAAGAAAACTTGGTGAAAGGCATTTGAGAACTCTGTACTAACTTTGCAACTCTTCATTATTTTTAAGTGAAAAGTTAATTTAGAGGGAAAAAAGTCACTCCAATTCCTCGTGAAACTTCCCTGCAATTGTTTCATTTATTCATCCAAGAAAAGTGTATTCAATGCCTACTATGTAACAGATACTGTTCTAAGCTCCCGGGATACCGCTATGACACAGAAAACAAATCTCAGCCCTCCAAGAACTGGAGGGGGTGGGTACCAGAAGTCTGCGAGCTGGACGGAAGGGACTCAGCATTACTGCACTCAGCATTACTTCAGGGCTTGACAGTAAAGTCAAAGAAACGCTGATCTCCCGAGTGGACGAACAAAGGTGATGTTCCCCCCTCCCAGCACCCTCCCTCACCACCTCGGCCGCGTCCAGAAGCGTCTCATTCAGATAGAGGTACCCAGCCGGGCCCCAGGCCTCACCCGGGTCAGCATTGTCCCGCTGAGAGCTTTCAAACAAGAGGTGTAAGCGAACCGGCATCAAAAAGCCTCCACGCAACTGAAAGAACAGTCTGACTTCCGGGATTAGCGGGAACCCGCTTTCCTTCTCACGGTGTCTCTTCAAGTTCTCGCGAGATACTGATTTGTCAGCGCTATAGAAATCTCGTCGAAGAGGCTTAGGTCCCGCGGGAAATGTCGCGCGCAGTTACTTCCGGTAGCTGGTAAACGCCGATACTTCCCAGGACGCGGAGGAAGCGGGCTAGGGTCAAAGCGACTTTGGCTACTTGCATTGCTCGGCGTAGCTCTGGGCTTCCAGACCTTAGAAAGTCACACATCCGCGCGCCTGTGGCCCCAGCTTCTGCGGATGCTGAGGTGGGAGGATCGCTTGAGCAGGAGTTTGAGGTTGCAGTGACCCGTGATCGCGCCACTGCACTGCAGCGTGGGCGACAGAGCGAGGCCTTGTCTCAAAAAATAAAGAAATAAAAAGATAGTCGCATTTTGTGCTAAACACTCTGTGTATTGCTGGGGCTCAACAAAAGAATGAGTTTTGGGGTTATGTTGTATGATGACTGCTTTAAAATATTCTCAAAGCGAAGCTAGTTACTGACTTAATCTACCAAATCTAATGACCCTTGTTAGCCTAGACATTCAGTACCCAAGGATAAAAGGGTGGAATGTAATGAAAAAGAAATTAAGTCATGCTTTTCCCCAGACCTGGCCCATGGGGATAATCTCTTCTTTTAATGGGGAGTGTTAAATGATTAAACTGAAGTGTAAAGCGGTTACAACAGTGATTTGGAAACAGTAAATGCCCAAATGTTAGCTGCTATTATTTTCACTATTGCGATCATTGTGATTTTTATCGCGTTGATACCAGATGTGTGAAGACCAAAAGGATCCTCCACTCTAGCCTCCCCAATTCACCTTTACAAGGAGCGAAGTTTAATGGTTCTTCAAGGAAGTTGTTTATTACGCCTATTTTGATAGGAATAGTTTATTTGCTCTTTTGGTGTCATGCTTCAGTAACTATCATTTGTAGCAACAATCAGCAATTAGAAAAAATCAGCTTGATATGGTCCCTGATATTTAATAATCATCATTTTGAGTTGTCCCTTGATGCTCATATCAGTATAGGTACATGCTATAGGTACAAGTCTTATATTCATGTAAAAATATGTCTTTCCCACTAATCTGATTTGAAGCTTAATATATTTATTTAAACAAGTTTCCAAGTCACCTAAAAAAGGCATCTTATTAGAATTTAGATTTGGTACAAAAGACAATGTTATTCAGGAATGAAATGATGCCATCTCTTGGATGCCATCTGTTTAATGTTTGTGGAAAAGTCGGTCTAACCTGTCAGCCTCTATTTTTTATTTTATAAATTTATATTTTATCAATATATTTTATATATTTACATGTTTTATACAATTTATTTTTCTATGCTTATTCCAGAATGTTGCAATTAATTAATACAGTGGTATTGTATTTTGCAGTGTGGACATGTAAAATAATTTGAAAAAGGGAATTTCGCGGCAGTCTTGGCCTGGCTTGCTGGTGTAGCCAGCAAGCTCGGAGGTGCTAACCGCTGCTGTCATGGTTCGTTTGCTAAACTGCATCGTCGCTGTGTCCCAAAACATGGGCATCGGCAAGAATGGGGAACTGCCCTGGCCGTTGAATCAGGAATGAATTCAGGTATTTCCAGAGAACCACCACACCTTCTTCAGTAGAAGGTAAACAGAATCTGGTGATTATGGGTAGGAAGACCTGGTTCTCCATTCCTGAGAAGAATCGACCTTTAAAGGATAGAATTAATTTAGTTCTCAGCAGAGAACTCAAGGAACCTCCTCAAGGAGCTCATTTTCTTGCCAGAAGTCTGGATGATGCCTTAAAACTTACTGAACAACCAGAATTAGCAAATAAAGTAGACATGATTTGGATAGTTGGTGGCAGTTCTGTTTATAAGGAAGCCATGAATCACCCAGGCCATCTTAAACTATTTGTGACAAGGATCATGCAGGACTTTGAAAGTGACACTTTTTTTTCAGAAATTGGAGAAATGTAAACTTCTGCCAGAATACCCAGGTGTTCTCTCTGATGTCCAGGAGGAGAAAGGCATTAAGTGCAAATTTGAAGTATATGAGAAGACTGATTAATATGAAGGTGTTTTCTGGTTTAAGTTGTTCCCCCTCCCTCTGAAAAAAGTATGCATTTTTACATTAGAAAAGAGACTTGTTGACTTCAGATCTATGGATAATTATTTCTAAGCAACGTGCTTATTCCCCACTAATCTTGACTATATCAGATACCATTTATGAAACATTCTTGCTATAACTAAGTGTCTCTCCAAGACCCCGACTGAGTCCCCAGCACCTGCTACAGTGAGCTGCCATTCCACACCCATCACATGTGGCACTTGCCAGTCCTTGATACTGTCGGACTTTTCTAATGTTGGTAGTATTTATTAAAGATGAAGATGCACATACCCTTCAACTGAGCAGTTTCACTGGTGGGAAATACCAAAAAGCTTCCTACATGTATATCCAGAGGTTTGTAGACAAATGTTGCAGCCTTGTTTGTAACAGTGAAAAACCGAAAACAACCTGAAGTCCAGTGATGGGAAAATGAATATATTTCTGTCTTAGATTGGGGAACCCAAAGCAGATTCAAAGACTGAAATTTCAGTGAAAGCAGTTTATTTGCTAGGTCATACCAGAAGTCATCAAAGTATGGAGGAATGGAACTGGGAAGGTAAAAATCAGTTCAAAGTCAGTGAGGTTCTCATTGGTAACAAGCTCCATACTGCTGAGATACAGGGAAACGGAGGGGAGAAAGCTGGAGTATTTAATCCCCCCGCTCCTTGGTTGTCAGCTCCCTGTCCTGTGTGTGGGCAGAACGTACGCCAGCTACTCTATAGGGAGTCCCAGGTGTTTGCTGTAAGAAGCTGCTGGAATGTACAGGAACAGTGAATGCCAAGCACTTAAAGCAATTCCATGTTTAAGTATGTAAGCTCTTCGTACTTTTTTTTTTTTTCTTTTTAAGACAGAATTTCACTCTTGTTGCCCAGGCGGAAACCCTGGCTAATGACAACTTCCGCCTTCCCAGGTTCAAGCGATTCTCCTGCCTCAGGCTCTTGGGTGGCTGGGACTACAGGCGCGTGCCACCATGCCAGACTAATTTTGTATTTTTGGTGGGGACATTTCATGTTGGTCAGACTGGTCTTGAACTCGACTTCAGGTGATCCTCCTGCCTCGGCCTCCGGGGTGCTGGGATTACAGGCGTCAGCCACTGCACTTGGCAGATCTTCATTCTTTTAGTAAAATGTATAAAGCCACACATGGTTTATTTGAAATATTTTATAATTTAAAAAAGTACAGAAGCAGGAAAACCAATTCTAAGTTCGAGTGAGGGATGATGGTAATTTGAACCAAAGGATTGCATGTAGTAAGAAATTGTGATTTAAAATGTATTTTAAAGTTGGAAGTAGCAGGATATTCTGATGGAGTTTGACTTTGGTTTTGGGCCCACTGAGTTTGAGATGCCTTTGGGAAATAAAAGAAGTAGAGAATTAAAAACCGGCCAGGCATGGTGGCTCATGCCTGTGGTCCCAGCACTTTAGGGGGGCTAAGGCGAGTGGAATACTTGAGATCAGCTTGAGCAACATGGTGGAGGCTCATCTCTACAAAAGATAACAAAAATTGGCTGGGCATTGTGGCGCACGACTGTAGTCCGACTGTAGTCCCGTGTACTCAGAGGGCTGAGATGGAGGGATCAATTGAGCCGGCGAGTTCAAGGCTGCAGTGAGTCGTGATTATGCCACTGCACTCCAGCCTGGGTGACAGAAGAGACCCTGTCTCAAAAAAGAATCTGAAAACAATGGAACCATGCCTTCAGAATTCTAGAAAGTTATTTTCAACTGATAAATCTATATTCAGCCAAATAATCAAGAGTGAAGGTAAAATAATACATGTTTAGACAAGCAAAGACTCAGGGGTTACATGTACCCTTTCTTGGGAAGCTATTGGAGAAAATACTCCAGCAAAATTAAGGAGTACACAAACCAGAGAATGACATGGATCCAGCAAATAGGATTTAACACAGACAATATTCCAGCTATGGAGCTAGCTTTAAAAAGAAACAGTAAAAATATTAATAGGTTAGCTGGGTGGAATGGCCCATGCCTGTAGTCCCAGCTACTCAGGAGGCTAAGCAAAAGGATGGCTTGAACCCAAGCGTTCCAGACCAGCCTGGCCACCACAGTGAGATCCCTTCTCTTAAAAATAATAGGTTATTGCCAGATTGGGGCATTTGGAAAGAAATGCATTGAAGATAAAGCAAAAGTAAAAAAAAAAAAAAAAAAAAAAAAGGCGGGGGGGAAGGTTGGTTAGGCAATCATTAATTCTAGGGCAGGAAGAAGTACAGGATAGGAAGAGCATCATACGCTGTTTTTCTCAACAATGAGCAATATGTACATAGTCAAAATGATGTGGTGACTGCTTAGCCCCTAAATCTGGTAATTACTTTGGGACAATATGAGAGGAAAAGTGAAGATAGTGATGGTGTAAGAGCTAAATCCTCATCTGTCATATCAAGAAATCACTAATGTATAACATAATCAAGAAATGACTAAGTAGTTACATGAAGAAAAAATAGAACGTTGCTTGAAGAGTTAGAAGTCATTGCTCTGGAGAATTAGGAGGGATGGGGCAGGGGACTGTTAGGATGCATTATAAACTGAAGAGGCTTTTTAAAATTATATGTATGAATATATGCATTCACTTGAAAAACTAAAAAAAAAAATAATTTTTTAAAACCCATGAAGGTAACTACCAGAAGGAAAAACTAAGAGAATGAAAAGTGCTTGCCTCTGGAAAGAACAAGTGGCAGGACTGGTGTTTTCACTGTAAGACTTTTGGTGCCATTTGATTTTACTTAACCATTTTTCATATATTTCTTTAATAAAAATAATTCTATCTTAAAAGGTATACTCATTCATTAAAAAAAGAATTTTAAGAATGTAGTAAGAATCATATACTTTATTTCTGTTAGAGCAAGGCAATGTGTTACACTTGGAAAAAGGTCATATTAATTTTACCACATATTTTTGGGACTCAGCATCTTTATATTTTCTGATTTTAAATAAGCAATTTTGCTTATGAATTTTGTCTGAATCTCTAATAATCTCCTTATAATGCCTAATTATGCCCTTAGTTTGGGTAGGTTTTTCAAAACTTACCAGTTATTTCATTTTAGATTACCACTCATGTTCACTTATCTATAGGTGTCTTAGTATCATCTTATTTATATTTGAGATAACCATGTCAGATGTTAAAATACTTTCCCCATTTTTCTTATAACCATTTGACTTTAAGTGTGAAGGTATTTAAAATTTTTTGTGTGTCCACTGTAAATTGAGTTTATTGATTCCACTGCTTTCAGGCTTATACATTTTTTCCCAGAGTGAAGCCACTTGTTTCTCCCCTTACCTCTTCATAGTTTGATCTTTCATGTTTAACCTCTTAATCTGTCTAGAATCAATAGATGTGTATCATGAGAATGTTAATGGATTTTACTCCCCACCCCCACCCCAAATAGCTACTAAAGAACAAACAATTCTACATTGAGTTTTAGGAATAAAAACTGTTAGCAGCAAACTTACATTAAACCACTGCAGACGTAAGACATTGAGCTGACACAAATACCATAAGTCACATTAGTTTGTTTTTTTGTGCTTTTCTTAATGTTAGTGTTAAAGAACCAAGAGCAGCTTAGTAAGGACGTACCTCTAGGCAGGAAACAAATTTTTACATACCTAAGCAATTTTACTGTAAGGTCAGTTGATCTAAGAAGTATTTCAGAGTAATTTATGGAATAACTCCTAAACTAGCTATGTTTTATGAATTTCCATATTTATATAAAATGTGTGTCAAAACCCTTCATGTTCATATAGAGGTTTATGTCGTCAAAAAGGACAGGCTTTGTAGTAATACAATATGACATCAAGAGAGCCCTCAGCTCCTTAAAATATATGGCAGAAAAACACAACAGGAAACCTGTGATCAATGCTAGAGAACACAGCATTGTTACAGGCAATCTTAGGCTTAAAGATCAGGTGAGATTCTCATTTTACTAAAATTCTGGGTTCCAATGTGGTCTGTACAAACTCCAGCAGACAATCCACGGTGTCTAGGAAGTAAATATAATGACTTTTATTTTTATTAAGCTTTATGTAGTCTTTTAAAATATCTTTTTTTAGGGAAGTGTATTTAAAATGTACGTAATGCAGTAGAACAAGCATGTTAACTGTTATGGGCTGAAATTTGTCCCCCCAAAATTCATGTTGATGCCTTAACCCCTTAACCTCAGAATGTGACTATATTTGGAGAAGGGCCTTTAAAAAGTTAAGTTAAAAGAAGAAAATCGAATACCAAACACACAGAGACACCGGGGGTGGGTGGGCAGTGGAGAAAAAAGGCCATGTGGGGACACAAGACAGTGTCTATCTCTCAGGCAAGGAGGGGGCCTCAGGAGAAAGCAAACCCACCAACTTGCTCTCAGACTACCAGGCCCCAGAACTGAGAAAATAAATTTACGTTGTTTAAGCAACCTGTCTGTGATACTTTGCTATGGCCACCCTAGCGAACTAATACAATAACATAAACATCAATGTATATTAAAAATGTTTTCTGATAGAAGATATAATAAAAATTTGGAAACCACTTATCCAAAGCACTTACCTAGGTTGTAAATGGTTTCCTCATCTGCACACAGAAGGAACTTACAACTTATGCCCTCAATAAGCAAATGAACTTTTTTCCTATTTTCCATTTAATTATAAGCTGATCTCTTTCATTAAAGGAAGTTCATTTCTGGCTTTTCTTCCCCCCTCCAAAAACAGGTATCTATTACTCTGTTTCTGTAAAGATATAGGATTATTGCTATTTTGATAACCTATGCCATACTTAATTGAAAATTTTAAAATCTTTGAATTTGTTCTTTGGATCAGTTGGAATATATTTCCTGATAAACTACTAAACCATTATTAGCACAATCTCAGTTGCAAAGCATATTCCACTTAGCAAAAAAAATTTACTAAGTAAAGCCAAGGATGATAAAGCTTATAAGCTACAGTTTTATTCATATAAACAATTTAGTTTGTGAATAGCTTTTGCTACCTAGAAGCATTTGATTGCTTTAGTTGTATTCTATAAGTGAACTGCTCCAGGCTGTTCACAGGTTATACATATTACGGGAATTCTAGTCTTCGTCTGGCATTTATAAAAGCACTTAATTTTAAACTTGCAGAAAACATGGTACTTAAATAATTTTAAATATTATAAATTTGCCTCCCTCAATACAAAAGTAAATCAAACTACATTTCTTTCTAGTGTTGTTTCTATGCATAGTTTTATATTTGAAGTCAGTTACATACAATATCATGTATACTATAAAATATGCATTTTACACATAAAGGCACATGAGAGTATCTTTTAAATAAATAAAAACATATCTGTTGACCAATAGCTTTAACACAAGACAGACATCAAATCCTCTAACATTGTATGGTGAAATGCTATTTGTAGCTGCATTTAAAATCACAACTTTCTTTCCCACATACATAAAAACTTGCAGGGAGAAAAAAGTTTTGTGTGTAAAGTAACAAAAAAATGCATTATTTTAATCTACTCATTTAAACTGTTTTTCAATAATCATATTTAAAAATCTTTACCTATTTTATTACCCAAAGGAAATCATTTAAATCTACCAAATGAAAAGAGAAACAGAATGTTGACATAAATTATTTTATTGTGTGAAAATGTCAAAATTCAGAATTAAGAATAAAAATATAACATATAACAAAATAGGCATTTAATTGTTAAAATACACCTGGATTTACAAAACATATTTTAAAATGTTTTTAAAACGCTTAAGGAATAAAAATTATTTTTTTGAGAGAGCTATATAAAATGTGAATTCTATATATTTAATTTCAAAATCATTTATTTTTATTAAATGAAGTTAGTAGCTACACTATAGTAAACACAGATAGAAAACAAAAAGTTTAAAAACATGTATACTCCCGAGATAAATATTAAAAAGATGGCAAAAGAACGAGTTTAGTTTTAAAATTGAGTAAATGTTACAAAAAGCTGTGCAATTTTCCCTTTAAAATCCTTTTCAAAATTTACATTCTGTCTTTTCTTATTGCTTTTTATCACATTTCAGCCACCTCTCAAATTCAGGTTGTTATGAATTTTAGATCTGAAGTCAAATGCTTTTAACTCACTCAGTGTGCTTGGTAAGTCTGATGTACAAACTCCAAGAATATATACAATGCTGACTGGAGTACAGGTGACCTAATTGTTAAAATTCGGTGAGTTAAAAAATGTGAATAAAATCTCATGTTCTGAAGTAAAATTTTTAAAGTAAATATATTAAACGACAAAAAATGTACTTAATGTTATTATCAGATACTAGTATATGTCTGTTGTGTCAGTACAAGTTACCAAAAGCACCAATCTTAACAAGGTGATGTAAAAATCATTCTGTTTATACTATTTTCACTGGGATATAAAGGTTTGTTTTCAATTAAATGTAACATTATGAATCTGTTATTCAAAATATACATCTAGAAGTCTGTCTAAATGCCAAATACAGAATCTTATGGATGCCATTCTTAAGTGCAAGAGAAGTGCTATCATCTTAAATTAAGAAATTATTTTGGAATTATTTATTTATAAAAGTAATTTTGGGCCAACATTTTTATTCTCGTTACTTTAGTACACAAGCTGTTTCCCAGTTGTGAAACAGAAGTCTTTGGACCTGCAGTAGGTTTTCCAGTCTTTCTGCCTTTAATTTCATAGTTTAATTTCAAGGCATGAAAGAATTAGAATCACCTAAAAGAGTTACTGCAGCTTCTGATGGAACAAGGGAGTATAGGGAGCACCTTGATCTCTGAAAGTGTCTAACCGTTAAAACAGGACTTTATTGAGACTTTTAACAGTATCTCACAGAATATATTTTAATTAATTTCAAAAACATTTAGGTACAAAAAGTATTTCCAGTCTCTCTCACTGAGTACTGTTTTCAAATCATATAATTGGTAGAATAAAGATCTGAGAATCTATTTCAAAAATATATTATTTTTAAATTAGGTCAAATTATGACTTACACTTAAAGAACAATGCTATTACAAAACATACCTCAAGCCATATAAATATATCCTGTTTGTATAGTTCATGTCTGAAAGTAAATCAACTCTATTTTCCAGACACAATTTAAACAAATCATCTATAAAAAAAGGGTGTATAATCAATATCATAGTAATTAAAATTTTTAAAGATTTAAAAAAATATAAAAATAGTTTTAAAATTTTGGTTATAAATTCCTAGAAGTCCCCCTTCTATGTGCATGTATCTTACAAAAAATACTTAATATCTAGAAATACAGGCTATTGAACAAATAGTAAAGAAAGTGCTGAGTTCACTGGCTCTTTTTCTAAAGTTTTCCTTCAGAAGTATCCTCATGAGTGGGGATGTATAAACCAGAGTCAACAGTAAATCTTGCTAATTTGGTCCAAATGCTGATTTTATGTACTGGTCATTGTGCTTCCTTTATTTTTTAACCATGAAGAACACAAATAATTAATTATCAAGTCAGGTCCTTGAGTATTAATCTTCTCACTAAAATCATTATGGTTATCTTGCCCCGGTCATCAATATACAACATGTTTCTTCTTCTGAGAAAGAAGAATGTCCCACTTCACCTTGCTGATATTAAGAGAACTCCTCCATACGTCTTGTTTATGAGATCACATCATGAGCATCACCATTAGGTCGCTGTGGCACAGCCAAGGGAGGCAGCGGCTTCCCATAGAAATCTAAGAAAAGAAAAAAAACCAAATGCACCAAACAGTTATGGAAAATCAAGATTTTTGACACAGTTCATTATTTTTTAGACATTTAGACATTTTAGACATTTCCAAAGAGATAAGCTTACAGAATCTTGGCATGCCTCTCTAAAGCAGACTTCCTTTTCTCTCATGCATTTTAAATCTTAAGAGACGGTACCAACGTTCCATCCTGTTGAGCCAAATTATACTCTATTCCTTTTGCTTTCAATCCACACATGAATTAGTCATATATTACTTATTATAATGGTTAAAACATTCCTTGCTTATGTTTTACTTTCCAATCCAATTTCCATTCCTTACTTCTTACTTTGACTACTGCAATAGCCCCCAAATTTGGATTCTTACCCCAAATATAGCCACTATCAAGTTTGTACTTTACATTGCAACAAAAAATACTTTCCTAAGCACCAAATCTAATAATAGCATTTTCCCTTTTAAAAATAAAAGCATTTCTTGAAAAGTTATAGCAAGTTCAGACATCTTACCATATATATGAAGCCTTCACAATCTGGCCCTAAGCCATAACTCCACTTTCAACACTGTAATTTCATATTTTCTCTTTCTTACCCACTCAATGCACATACACCTAATCTCCTATCACTGGCAACTTCATGTTATTCTCCAACTAAACAATATTCTGTCCTGCCTCTCCACCTTGAAATAGTCTGTTTCTTCTGATTACTGACTCTTCTCGTTCTTTGAATACCTCATTATAATGCCACTTCCCCTAACTGCCCATGCACACAGTACTCCTACTGTGCATAGTACTCTAACTGTACACCACAGAACTCATTGTCATATATTCTACAGTAAGCTGAAGAATTGTCCTCTCTATACAGTAGGATCCTCACAAAGGCAGAATGTACATCTTATTCATCTTGTGATTACCAATGTTTTAACAAACAACAAAATACTTGTATGTTAAATGAGTTCAATAACAGAAAAAATATGTCATATGAAAAATTGATATTTTTTCTTCATATGTATCTGTGTGTACATATAAATATACACACTAACATTACCTAGTTTTCTGACAACATAGTGAATATTTACATTGACAATGTATCTGATGTACATGAGTTCACTAACAGTTGTATAATAAAAAAGAAAGAAATCTTCTGTAGTCAATATAAACATCATGATGTAAAGTCAGTAAACTAAACAGATATATGAGAGTTCACTGAAAATACCATTTCACTAATTCTGCTATAGTCTAAGGACAAACTTTTCTGTCTTTAAAAAAAAAAAAAAAAAAAAAAAACAACGAATTTTCACTAACAATTATCAAGAAATATTTCATTATTGACCTAAATAGAATTCTGGGGGAAAAAAGCAAATAGCATATTTATATTTATGTACTTTTTAAATAAAAATATTTAAACTGGTTTGATATAACTTCAAATTATATGGTAATGCTTTTCTAAAGATTAAACTTCTGAGTTTTTTCCTAGTAAGTGAAACCAAGTTCTAGACTAGGTAAATACAGAGCCATCAAAAAACGAATTGGATGTTCTTAACAAACAAGTTTATTCAGCTACAATTATCTATAATTCTTTTGCATTCTAGAAATATTTTACTGAAGAGACCTAGATGATGGTCTGAATCAGAACTTCTCCCTGTTTTATAAGGCAGTTCTCTACTTCTCCTAAACATCCTTCCTCTAGTTTTTGCATCCTAGAATTCTAATGCCATAAACTAGCTAGACTATAGCATGTTAGTTATATTCAAAGAAAATTGTTCCCTTAATTCAACAAAAATGTTAGTAACTTTCTACTTAGTCAAACTTTATTAGGTTTACTGATTCGATCTCTGATTTTATAAACTGTGTTGATCTTCACTTTAATATTCAGCCCTGGTTGTCTTATTAGGAGTAGAGAGAAAAAATGATGTGGCATTATCACTGAGTATATTGAGCATATACAGAAAACTACAGCTTTTTAACACTTAAGTTACAATTGTAAGGTCTCATAGTTAAATTATTTTAAAACCTTTCCTTTTTATAACTCCTTGTATAAATATATCATGGATAATAAACACAAGCTATGATTCTTTTCACCTCTGTATTCTAAGGTAAACACCAAATCAAATGATATAGATGTAAAGCACACTTAAGAATAAAAAATTAAATAAAATGAAAAAAAAGTATAATGAAAAAGGATGGCTGTGGATTTGACAGGCTTCCAAAACTAAAACATAAGTTTGTTGAAGTTATCAGGTTAAAGAAAAGTTAATGTAACATGTACAGATGATATCTGAAAACCAATCCTTTTGCATTACCATTATGACGTGTTTCACCAAGAGGCTCAAGTTTTGGAAGTCTAGTGACTTTAGGGGTTCCCCAGCCAACTAAAGAAAAAGAAAAACATTTTAAAAACACTGTTAAACAAGGCTTCTTTAGGTCTGTTGAGAGGATCCCTCCCTGGAAAGGAAGCATATGTAACATTCAATGTCAATTCAAATATATTGAATGACACTATGGAAAGCCAGAAACCCATTTTAAATGGCTTCTACATTTTAAAATGTAATTATAGGCTGCTAACATCTGCTTTAACTTTTCAATAACTTTTAATACAAAATAAAAGCACCTTCACCACTATCAAAAACAAACTCATGATATCATTCTAACTCTAGGCAGAAACTAAATATTTTCTTAATAAATTGAATACTGGAAATGAGTCGATAAGAGATTCTTAAAATGTTACCAAATAATTTCTAAAGCCTGGCAGCAGGGATATAAGGGCACTATACACATATTTCTCTAGTCATTACATATTTATTGACCACCTATAGTAGGTGAGGTACTAAGCTTAGTGCTGAAAAGTTACTCACAATTATTGTGAAAGTTAAGTCCTAGTGTTTTATATGCATTACTCCATTTAATCCTCGTAACAACTTAGGACATGGGTATGTATATTGAAAATATATTAGAAAAAATTAATACATCTTGGTTTCAAATGTTAAGTTTCAGGATGAAAGGTCCAATTTTTTATTTTTATTTTTTTCTGAGATGGAGTCTCACCCGTGTCACCCAGGCTGGAGTGCAATGGCATGATCTTGGCTCACTGCAACTTCCGCGTCCCAGGTTCAAGTGATTCTCCTGCCCCAGCCTCCTGAGTAGATGGGATTACAGGCACGTGCTACTACGCCCAGCTAATTTTTTTGTGTGTGTGTATCTTTAGTAAAGATGAGGTTTCACCATGTTGGCCAGGCTGATCTCAAACTCTTGACCTGGTGATAAGCCTGCCTTGGCCTTAAAAAGTGCTGGGATTACAGGCATGAGCCACTGCGCCGCGCCAGTCCAATGTTTTAAAAGCTCATGTTAGTCATCCATCATGAAACTTAAATTAACATGTGGGTACTGATATTTCAAACAGAACTTGAACATATTCTAGGAAATATTGGGTATGATTTTCTTACTAGTTTTTACTTATTTTTTTCTTCATAAAACTTTTTTTATTCAAAAAAGCAATGGACATTTTTGTTAGCACATTTTGTCCAAATTAGAGTAAAAGATTCTTCTTCACAAATATACAAGATAACGAATATGCAGAATAAAAATGACAAGATTCCTTTTTTTCTCTATTGTTTAAAGCAATATTTCTAAATTCAGTATCGGTATCAATTCACTCACCAGGAGGAGGGGGTGGGGGTGGTGTTGGACTCTCAGGAGCACAGTCATCTATATTAAGTGGTTCTACCCGGTGGTTCCTTTTCATTCTTAGTTTCTTAGTTTTCTTTCTACCATTAGCTACAAGAATATAAACATGAAACTTCATAACTTTATGAAAAAGTGAACTTTTATAATAGAAAACAAAGAATACAACAAAAATATTGATATTATTAACAAAAAAACATCTTGACTATTCAACTTTGGAAATTGTTACAATAATCAAATGTGTACTGGCATTTACTAAGAATATATTTTTTAAGTGATAACTTATTGAATGAATGAATGGCCAATGAATATGATACAAAGAGCCAAAATTCTACATTTGAATTTCTGAGAGGTTTTTCACAAAAAAAAAAGTCATATGAAACAAATATAATTGTCTAATTGCAAGAGTTTCCATGAAATTCATAATAATCTGGGAAAATAAGCTACTCATTACTGTGTCACTCAGTATATTTCATTTTTTTCAGTGGAATATGTAGAATGATTCTAGGTATAAATAGTCCAAAAATAATCCCTTGAAATGTGACATAAAAGGCCCTAAACAAATCTAAACATGTTACTTATTTAAAATAACCCCTACAAGGCTATGCACAGCAGCTCACACCTGTAATCCTAGCACTTTGGGAGGTTGAAGTAGGAGGAATGTGAGAGCCCAGGAGTTAAGAGAATGGTCTGGGCAACATAACTCTATGGAAAAAATAAAAAGCATAGCTTTGTTTTCACGTGCCTGTAGTCCCAAGTATTCAGGTGGCTAAGGCAGAAGGATCATTTGGGCCCTGGAGTTCGAGGCTACAGTGAGCATGATTGTGACACTGCCATCCAGCTTTGGTGACAGAGTGAGACACTAGACACTATCTCAAAAAAAAAAAAAAAATTAAATAAATAAGTAAATAAACAAATTAAATAACTCCTAAAGAAGGTAGGCCCAATACAATATAAACATGTAACCAAAGTCACATTAGAACTAGTAGAATTGAATGTGTTCTTTCTTAAAAAAATTATTTACATATTGTAACTTAAACACATATAAACACTTTAAGGAAATGTATGTTAATGTATAAATTTTAATAGGGTAAACTAGGATGACACAGTAGTTAACTAAATTTAGAACATCAGTGTTACTGCAATTTTTTTTTCTCGCTCAGGTTGGAGTGTAGTGGTGCGATCTTGGCTCACTGCAACCTCCACCTCCCAGATTCAAGTGATTCTGTGTCTCAGGCTCCAGAGTAGCTGGGATTGAAGGCGTGTGCCACTACACCCTGCTAATTTTTTTTTTTTTTTTGTAGAGACGGGCTTTTGCCATGTTGCACAGACCGGTTTCAAACTCCTGACCCAGTGATGTGCACTCCTTGGCTTCCCAAAGTGCTGGGATTACAGGTGTAAGCCACCCTGCCCAGCCAATGTAACTGCAATATTTCAAAATTGCCGTGTGTGTGTGTGTGTGTGTGTGTGTGTGCATGCAATGTACTTTCTAAATGGGAATTATCTGTAACATAAAATATATACATTATCTGTGAAGCCTACAAAACAAAAAATACAATCACACTTAGAAACAAATTATTATTCTAAATAAATTAGTGTTGTTTGAAACATTTCACTTCATATAAAAACAAACAGGTCTTTGTACAATTAAAGTGGTAAGCCTAACAACTGGAAGAATAGATCCACAAGATGTGGAAGAATACAACCACCAAACGGTACTTTAGGGCAGGCAGTAGTTCAGGGTCATGGAAAAGCACAGGATGTGGATCAGATGATCTGGACCGGGGTCTCAGCTTACACAGACAGGATATATGATCTTAAGTTACTCAACCTCTTCAAGTCCCTGGTTTCTTCATTTATATAATGGAATACTATACCCCTGAGATTGCTATGTTACATAACAAAATATTATGTTGAATAATATAGCGCATCCAAAGGCATGTTTTAAAGTATAAAATATGTTAGTTATTATTACAGTTATATGATTTACTATCTGAGATCTCCCTGTGCTATATTTTCAAATCATTTGCCAAAATTACTTTGCTCTTTAACAAGCAGTAGAGAACTATTTAAAAACTTAGAGACCACCGTAATAGATCTACTTCCTTTTCAACTCGGCTGACAGTTATATGGGTATAAATATGACTGCCCTAACTTCCCAATTGATAAAAAGTATAACTTTCAAATCTAATATTTTCATCCAGCAAAATATCCATGTTAGCTAATCTGTATCTCAGGAATTGAAATCTTATTTTCATAAGGCCGGTGACACTATAAAAATGTCTTATAAATAATGAAGCCATATTAATAACTAAAAATGTCAAGGAAGCAACAATCATAGGGCATCTCTCATGTGGCTGACACTGCTAGGAGTAGAGTTATTTTCTAAGTAACCCTAAAAGTCTTAAGAATAAAGACAATGTTTATCTGCATTTTAGAGATGAAGAAACTAAAGAATGTTATATAACTTAACATGTATCTAGTAGATAAGAGAGTCAAGATTCTATCCCAAGTTGTATGATTCCAAATGCAGGCTATATCCCTACCATACCAAAAATAATGAATGTTCTGTTATATAACATAGCCAGTTAGAAAAAGAAAAGCAATTATGAGTTGAAGATTTTTTATATTAAAATAAGAGAAAAATGGCTACTTGACAAGACATTTTAAAAATGTTCTACCGATTATGTTTGCAACCTACAGCAACAGCCAGTCAATAAAGGAAATGATGCTGATGTAGCACTTATGAGCCTTAAAAAACAAACAAAAAAACCTTAAGATGTTAAATTTATTCCAAGAATTCTTGAGAGCTATGCTGTATCCCAAATTTATGAAAATAAAATTAAAAATGGAATTTTCTGCTAAAATCCTTATAAGTTACAAAGGACCACATTTTAAGCCATCATGGAAAAACATGTTAGGAACAAACTGGCTGAATAATAAAAGACCTTGAGAAAATCATGGTAAACATGGCATTGAAGACAGAAAAATATTGCAGTACTCGTTTATAAAAACAAACATAAAAAATGAGATGAAGTGTAATTTTTATTTATATATACATAAGATAATTACTTTAAATAACTAGATTACCTGATTCCAACGATGGCCGGTCTGTCTCATCTTCATTCTCTAACTGCTGTGTTAATGCCTCCTTATAATTTTCTACTAGTCCAAATTCATTATTTTTTTGGCCACTGTCATTAACCTGACCTTCTGTCTCTATTTGCTCATGCTCCATTTTATGTTTCAGGTGGCAGCCATCACTGTCTTTCTCCATTTTTTGCTTTTTTTTCTCTCTTTCAAGTTTTCTTTCATTCTAACAAAAAATAAAATACATTATCTTTACTATGATGGTTTTATCTAAGATAGTTTTAAGGGAGAAATCAAATACCTTAACAGCATTCTGTAACTTCAAGGACACTGTGAGATTCCTATTTTAAAAATGATTTCATGAATACATCATTAAAAGATGCCAAATGTCAAATCTTCAGTAAACACAGAAAGTATAACGAAAGAAAACAAATATTACCAGTAATTCCACAAACTAGAGATGACTGCTATTCATCTTTATTATTCGGTATATAATCTGTTCAGTATATAATCACTAAGAGATGATTTTCTCTGCCAACCCCCACATGTACATACACACATCATGTACAGACATACATCACCCAGAAACATACATAAATGTATGTATCTATATATACATTTACAAATACATGTAGATTATGTATTTGATGTTTAAACAAAAAAGAAAGTTTTTATTGAAGAATATACATTTCTTTCCATGCCAATGAATATATGAAGTGCTCAGAACAGTGCCTTACACATAGTAAATGCTACATAAATATTAGCTACAATTATTTTCAATTATATTATTATGTTTAATGTTTATAGCATACCAATTCTATACCAATGAACAAATAATTTATTTCCAATTTTTCATTATTTTAAAAAATAGAATCATCCTAATAGCTTTTTTTTTTTTCGTTTTTTTTTTTTTTTTTAATTAAATTGCTAAGAGTAGAACTGTTGAGTCAGTGGGTAGGCAAATTTAAAAATGTCACACATAGTCACAAACTTCCCTTCAGAAAAACTGAATCAACGTACACCCCAGGCAAAGGGTTGGGACAGTGATTTTTTTCTACATCATATTCAATACCACATATCATGATTGACCTTTTACATCTCTGCCATATTAATACATATTTTTATCTTAGTGTTTAAGCTAAAATTTTTATTGCTAGCAAAAATGAACTATTACTGACTTTTTTTTTTCTTTTTTTTTGAGACGGAGTCTTGCTCTGTCGCCCAGGCTGGAGTGCAGTGGCGCGATCTCGGCTTACTCCGCCCCTCCAGGTTTAAGCAATTCTCTGCCTCAGTCTCTGGAGTAGCTGGGATTACAGGCACGTGCCACCACGCTCGGCTAATTTTTTGTATTTTTTAGTAGAGACGGGGTTTCACCATCTTGGCCAGGCTGGTCTTGAACTCCTGACCTCGTGATCCACCCACCTCGACCTCCCAAAGTGCTGGGATTACAGCGTGAGCCACCACGCCCAGCCACTTATTGACATTTTAAATGTTTTTTTTAGGAAACTGTCTTTGGTAACCCAATGCCCACTTTTCTATTAGATTCTCATTATTTTCATAGTAATTTGTAAGAGTTATTTTGTGCATACGTGTCACTAGGACTAGTCACAGAGCCCCATGAGACTATGTGTTCTATTTTTCACTAGAGTTTCTTTCTTTTCATTTTTGCTTTTTAACTTTGTAGAATAGCTCTTTTAAAATTGGGTAATACAAGATCTATCTGCCTTTTTCCTTTATGATTTGGGGCTTGATTGTCCTGCTTTGAAATGTTTTCCTCCTCCAAGCACATATAAAGACTTAACTATATTATCTACTAGTAACTTTAAGACTTTCACTTTTTAAAACATATTTAAATTTTTGATACTTTTGGAATTTAACTGGGTATACAATATTCAATAATTTTCCTTTTTCTAAATGGTTAACTTGTTCTATTATTCTTTTCTCTCAGATTTGAAATGTTATCTTTATCTTGCACTAAAATGCTCATACATAATTAGGTTTATTACTATTTGTTCCATTGATCTGTCTGTCTCTTCTAGAACCAATACCTTCCAATATCTCACCATTTTAATTATCCGCGGTAATAATCAAAAAAATGTTAGGTGCTTCTGTACCAAGAAACATGCTAAAAAAGTTTTGTGGGGAAAAAAAGAAAATCGGTATGTTTAAAAAAAAAATATATATATATATATATATATATCTAATTTGTTTTTATTTCTTTACTGACCATCTTCTCGAAATTATTATAGTTTCAAAGCATAAGTGTACTTTCCCCATGCCACTTATTAATTTGAGAACTTCCTGTATGTGAAACACTATGTCGTACACCACTATTATTCACTTCTATACATTGTGGAAAACACGGTGCTGGGAGAAGCACTAGAGCCTTCTACATAATTTATACCCATGGTACTATAAAATAATTAGCCATTATTTATAAAGCAAGCCTTATTATACATCAGAATAACTGAGGTTTCAAAGTAAAAAGCACAACTTGACCTCTTCTCTCTCAATATTTTTAAAAGAACATAAAACAAAACTTGACAAATATAATATCTGATAGAATGGAGACAAAACAATAGCTCATGCTATTAAGATGGTCTTACTATAATTAGAAAAGCACATATTTAGGGTAAATGCAATGAGGTTAATGAAAGATTGAATACAATTAAACCTCCTGGTATCCAAGCAACTTAAAAACAAATGTCTCATATTACCAACTATTTTGCAAAATAAAGCAATACCAAAACTATCCAATCATCTTCTTACCTGCGGAGCTGCCTCCCTCCTCAGTAGCAGCCCCAAGGAAATTTAAACAATCATCCACCTTTCCAGATGAGCACCTGTGTGGAAGGAGGCAGTGACAGGGGAAGAGGAATGGGGAATACACAGGCAGGACCAGGACATCAGCCTTAGGTTTAGGAAGCACTGCCTCAGAAGAGGCATGGCTGCCGCCAGCCATAAAAGCAGAGCCAATGCAAACTCTGGACATGAGCAGAAAATGAAAACAAAGACACAGATACACATACGCACACACATACAACCCCTTAACTTCTCCATAATTAAAATCTACAAATTAATGTTGGTAAAATTTCTGATTTAAAATGGAAATAAATGATGTTCAGATACAGGAGAATTTATTGCAGTTTCAAACATCCTTAAGTATCTTGGAAAAACAGAAAATTGTTTATGTACTCTAATGCATTCTAAATAAATATTACAAATGGGCAGTAACAGCAATACGGAAACAGAAAATGTAAGTAAGAGTAAATATATTATTACTATATGAAATAAATGACAAAATAGATTTATCAACACAGCAACTACAATAATTGCTACAGTCAACTTTTATTTATTGTCATTTAATTCTGAAGTCATATTCCCCCTTTTACACTAGATTCAAAGGTAATTTAAGAGTAAGACAAAGCAGTAAACCTTTCATCAGTCTCTTATCTCCAATTTCTTATAGAAATAATCTCTCTGAAGAAACACTTCTATTTCCCTGCCTCCTTTCCCAACTTTCCACCTTCTTTTCCAAGTTCCAACTTATAACTTAAGATACAGAAATTCCATTTGCCATCATTCATACCTCAATGATTACAGATGCTATTGGCTGGAAAGGATTTGTTGGTTCTGGGTCCAATTCGGCCAGACTACCGGTTCCATCAAGTTCAGCCTGCTCTTGTTCATTTTGTTTTCTATTGTTCGAGGAAAAATAATTGAAATTACCTTTGAGAAAGGGCTGAATCATGTTTAAGAAAACTGCAATAGGTATAAGGCTATTACATGTAGTAATGTAAATATCTAGACATGGTTTTCAATTACTGAGAGCATTTCAAAAATCCTTATGCAGGCAAGAGGCTTCTTCCCCACTATGTAAAGACTAATCACTTCATTTTTTAAAAATACTGATAAAAATGACATTTCTTATGACTGACTTCTTAATATCAACAGTGTAATTATTCTTCCATGTGCCAAGGGTATTACTGATCAACTTATTAATTACCCTCCAAAATCAATGCTGTCCTCTTTACTGGTGTTAACAAATAGTAATTATTCTTATTAACTCTTAAGGGCCAAGTCTTCTCTTATAAAACTAGGAAAACATTCCTTCAACTCAACCTATGTTTTCACTTTTGCATAAACATGTTTCTTATTTAGTATAAAAGAATAAAAGACTAGAATATCTATAGTTTGATTCTATAGAAGTATATGACAGAGTAGTAATATAAAATATTTTATCAAGTTGTATATCATATTTGAACTAGATAACTTCCATAATAGTGTTGAGTGGCTATAAAAATAAGTTACCATATGTATCATTCAGATTAAATAAGTATTTCCATATCAGTTACCACTGAACATTTACTATCTCTGTGATTTATAGTTAATGTTGTTCCATATATGATGAGTAATGTTATTAAGATGAGCAGCTGGCCGGGCGTGGTGGCTCACGCCTGTAATCCCAGCACTTTGGGAGGCTGAGGTGGGTGGATCACGAGGCCAGGAGTTCAAGACCAGCCTAACTGACATGGTGAAACCCTGTCTCTACTGAAAATACAAAATTAGCTGGGTGTGGTGGCGCATGCCTGTTATCCCAATTACTCAGGAGGCTAAGGCCGGAGAATCGCTTGAACCCAGGAGATGGAGGTTGCAGTAGGCCAAGATTGTGCCATTGCACTCCAGCCTGGGCAAAATTCCATCTCAAAAAGCAAAATTCCATCTCAAAAAAAAAAAAAATAGATGAGCAGCCAAAGACCAAAAAAAAAAAAAAGAAATACAAATATTGTGGATTTTTAACCGGACTGTAAGTACGGTATAGCAATGTAAATGTTCATTACCATAATATTTACTAGCTGTGTTGTAGATGGAAATACATATCCTTTTATTATGAACCTAGGAAGCCAAGATTTGGAGATTTGCAATTTACTACTTCTGTGACTTTGCACCTGGATCTTTGAGCCTTAGCTTTCCCACAAATGTGAATAAAAATAACCACTTCAGAGAGCTGTTTCAAGGGTCAGATAAAGTAATATATGTGAGACCACTCTGTGAATGAACTTTCTCACAAGATAGCCATTGTTATTAATGTTATTTATTAGTAAGCAAATTCAGGAATACAGTATTAATATATTATTTTTACTTGGCATGTGTTACTGTTTTTCAAACACTACAAATGACTATCTGAACCAATTAGATTGGATTTAGTGAAGTAAAAAGGTTGTTTTTAATCACCCGTCTCCGAATGTCAATTTACTTTTCATTATGGAATACTGGCTCAACAGGAGAGGTCTCCTCAAGAGGAGAGGTCTCAGACCACAACTGGCATGGATAAGGAGAAAGAAAGAAAGGGTAAAGAGTACCGGAAAAGCCTGCCATAACATGATCTAGAATATAGAATATCATTATGGAAAAGGCAAAAACATTTAAAAAGTTACTAACATTAGATTTCTTTTATCCAACTCAATTTGTTGCTTCTATTTTTATTTTCTTAGTGGAGGAAAAGGAGTTTTCACATAAGTATGGCCATATATTTAATTTTTATAAATATTATATATAAAAGGTATACGTACATGCATGATTGGTTGTACTGAGCTTTATATGATAAAAATAGATACTAAGAAAAAAACAGATTCTCACAGGAACTAAAACCTTGTATCAACAGCTGCCAAAATCATTCACTCCAATCTGTTTTTTATATAAAGAGATCCCTGATGAATGACATGCTCATATTATGGAGCACTTGGGGATAGAGAGTCATTTCTACAAATATTTATTTAAGTCCTATGGATGAATTACATGAAAAATATGTTATCAGAGGATTTCCTTCACAGTATAAGAAATCTCCTCATAATGGGGTCACCAAGGGTAGTAGGTTCTTGCCCACTGGGCTACAATTATGTTAAACTACACAGAAGGCCAGATGGAAAGCAACTTTGGATCAGATTTTGCTTGAGTTGAATGATTCTCTACCAGCTCACCTTCTATCCTTGCTGAAACTAAAAAGGTTCCTCAGTCTCAACGTTATTGACATATTAAGCCTGATAATTCTTTGTTGTGGGAGACTGTCCTATTTGTCATAGGACGTTCAGCTGCATCCCTGGCCTCTACCCAACAGATGCCGAGTAGTACTCCACCCCTCCCCCTAGTGGTGAAAACTAAAAATGTCTCCAGACACTGACAAATGTTAAAAACTACCCTGTGCATTGAGAACCACTGCACTAAAGATACCCATAAGAAATCAAAGATAAAAATTTAAAACTCTGGAAGGCAATGGTTACATAAGGAGTAAATTTAACTACTATACAACCTCCAGAAAAATTAGGAATCTACCACCCAAACTTGTATAGAAAAAGATCCATAGAAATACAAAATTTACCTAGTGTCTTCCTTCATATAGAAAGAAGAAACTGAACAGATAAAACTAACAACTAATTCATCAAATTCTTATGTTTTTGATTCTTCAAATGCACCGTGGTGCAAAATTAATCTACTTACCTTTCTTCTCGTAATTTTCGCACTCGTTCAGCTCTTTCTTGTTTCTCTTGTTCCTCAAGAGCACGCTGTTCTGTTGTATCTTTTTGGATGCGTTCATTTAAGGCATCAAAGTCTCTTGCAATAACATGTAGCAGCCAAAAAAGGCCTTTTTTAATGGACTTGTCAATTTTCTTTCCATACCCCGAGATTGCTGAACATGGTTCCTAAAACAGAAATTTATTTGACTAAAAGATTAAAAGGTCTCCACACAAATCTATTCATAAACCATTAAGTATAATTAATAGCAAATCAAAATTAAGCTATTTAAGTTAATGATATGAAGCATCTGCTTATTTAACTTCCAAAACATAGCATTGCAATGATTATTAACATTAGTATATAGGACTTAAAATATTTTACAGATAACATCTGTACGCTATGTGAGATATTATAAAGAGGGTGACAGTGCCACTTACAATATTAGAAGAAAAAATTTAATTGCCATAAAAAACACCTCTATTTATTAAAAATGCCAAGAAGTTTTAATTCCTTATACTAAAATCTACAGCAGTAAACATCCATAAGATTGACAGCCTAATGTTTTTTGAAACCAAAATAAATTATTAAATCCACTGTCAATCTTCCTTAAGACTGTATGACATCTCTCCTGATATGATTTATCTTTTCTTTTTCTGTTTTTTAGAGACAGTGTCTCATTCTGTTGCCCAAGCTGGAGTGCAGTGGCTGGATCAGAACTCACTGCAGCCTTAACCTCCTAGGCTCCAGTGGTCTTCCCACTTCAGCCCCCTCAAGAGGCTGGGACTACAGGCACACACCCCCACACCCAGCTAGTTTTTGTATTTTTCGTAGAGCTAGGGTCTCACTATGTTGCCTAGGCTGGTCTGAAACTCCTGGGCTCAAGCAATCTGCCCCTTCAGCCTCCCAAAGTGCTGGGATTATAGGCATGAGCCACCATGCCCAGCAATATAATTTTTCAAAATTAATTATGAATCTCTCATATGTTTAAATGTTATATTTACACTTTTCTTTCCCATTACAAATGTCATACTATGATGTGCTGGCACAGTGCACAGATCCTATCAGCAATATCTTAAAATGCAAATGGGAAGCTCCTTGAAATCATGGAGAGATGGTTCATGGAAATAACAATGAAACAGACAACAAATATTATGGTATTAAGTTATATCAACAGAAAAGTGGAGTGTGATTTCATAGGTTACAAAAAATTCTTTGAAAAGATTGTCTTAACTGCTATCACTTTTATAAAAACCAAGTTATACTGAACCTATTTGAAAGGACAAAAAATTAAAATTAAAAAAAAAAAAAAAAACCTTACTATCTGACAGAGGCACTTGTGCTCATTGACCAATTTTTCCAGAGATAGACATTCAATGACATCAGCTTCTCCTAACGCTCCTTCTTTATCTTGTTTGTTTGCCAACCTAAAAGATAAATAAAGTACTTTAATACAGCATATACATAATTGGATGGAAACTTAAAGATATTCTGAATACATTCTTTTTTTTTTTTTTTTTTTTTTTTTTTTTTTTTTGAGACTGAGTCTCACTCTGTTACCCAGGCTGGAGTACAGAGGTGCAATCTTAGCTCACTGCAACCTCCACCCCCCAGGTTCAAGTGATTCTCCTATCTCAGCCTCCAGAGTAGCTGGGACTACAGGTGTGTGCCACCACGCGTGGCTAATTTTTTGTTTTTAGTAGAGACTGGGTTTCGCCATTTTGGCCAGGCTGGTCTTGAACTCCTGACCTCAAGTGATCTGCCAACCTCAGCCTCTCAAAGTGCTGGGATTACAGAAGTCAGCCACCGTGCCTGGCCTGACCACATTCTTTGATTCCCAAGTTTTAAATCTACTGATTACAGAACACACTAGTTTCTTAAAATGTTTTAGTACCAATTTTGTCATTTTTCCTTTATTATTGCTAAAACAGTTTGTAACTACTGGCCTATAAAAGGAAAATCAAATAAAGAGAAGTGTCAAGATAGCAAACAACAGATCAATATGCCAACAATAAGGCTACGAAACAGAAAAAGAAGAGGACTAATTTCCCCAGGTCACATCCATAAATTATATTCTTACCTTCTTAAAATACAAACTGTAATGTTTTAAATGCCCAAATATTTATTCTGAATTTGTAATATTTGAGCTTATCTACAATTATAATGTGTGAATGTGTCCACATAAATGTACAATTTACTGAAGACCCAAGGCCACTTCTAATTGACTTGGCAAAGCACTGGGAATTAAAAAAAAAAAAAAGATTGTACTCAATTAGAGACAAACTGGACACCGACAAAATGAAAAAACAAAATATGCTACAGAAAAACAGGATTTCCCACAATATACCACTATTTAATTATAAAACACAGATTTAAAAGTTTAATAAAATACTGCCTTGCTCAAAGTTTGACAGACTCTTTAGGTTAAAAAAAAAATTAAGTACATAGACTAAGACGAAACCCTTAGAAATTATCGAAACTGTGTCATTCTTGCTTATCTACATAACTTCTTTTTTGTATTTCCCAAATTACCATTAAATCTACATACCTTCTGTTTTGCTGCCTGAGTCACATTACTTCACCCAGATATTAAAAAATCATTACCATGATACCACTATTACACCTAACAAAATTAACAGTAAGTCTTCAATATTACTCGATTTACTCAATATTCTCCAGTATCATTTTACAAGCGTTATGTTTAAATTCAGATCCAATATGCATTACTTATCACTTACCTCTTTTTGAATCCGTATTACACCTGCCCTCCCCGCTACCACCCCCACAACTCTTTTCCTCCCATGACATTTATTTGTAATTTTTCTTTAGAATTTCCCATATTTGGGATTTGGCTAATACCTTCCTTATACACTTATTTAACATACCTATCCTGTATTTCCCATATCTGGTGGTAAGAAGCTGGATGAGTTTCAGATGAAATCTTTCTGGCAAGCATATTTCGTAGGTGGTGCTTGTATTCAGGGAGGCATAAAATATCACTTTTATATAATGTCCTGTTTTAGTGGTATAAAATTATGGGATTTACATTTAGCCTGATCCATCCAAAATAAAGTTCTTGATTAATCTTTCACTTAATGATTTTAGCAGCCATTGATGACCTTTACTTAATTCTATTATTTTACCAAAGTTTATGAAACAGTAACTTTTCTAGTTCCATATTCCTTCTGCATTTACTAGCAGGATTCTTGCTAAAAAAAAAAAAAAAGCTTTCACCAACTACTTGGTTGACTCTTAAAACTCACAAAGTCAAGATAAATGTTTGATCCCTTGCCCTTATTTCCTAATTGTCAAAATAATGCATTGATGGCATAGCAACCTCCGAAGGTAATCAGGTTGATTAAAAAAAAATCCTATAAATTTAAAGATTATTAGTGCAGTTTTGTTATGTAAACGTATTGCATAGTGGTGATATATTGCATAGTGGTGAGGTCTGGGCTTGCAGTGTAACCACAAGCTTAATAATGTGCATTATAGACATTAATTTCTCATCTCTAACTCCCCTTCCACCCTCCCACCCGTCCAAGTCTCCAGTGTCTATTAATCCACACTCCATGTCAATGTGCACACATTATTTAACTTCCACTTATAAGTGAGAACATGCTATAGTTAACTGTTTCTGAATTATTGCACTTCAAAAAATGACCTCCAGCTCCATCCACGTTGCTGGAAAACACGTTTTTTAAATAGTTGAGAGTATTCCATTGTATGTATGTACAAAAAACACACACACACACACACACACACACACATTTTCTTTAATCATCCATGGAAGGACATTTAGGTTGACTCCGTATCTTTGCTACTGTGAATAATGCTGTGATAAACATCTGAGTTCAGATATCTTTTCTTGTATAATAATTTCTTTTCCTTTGGATAGGTACTCAGTAGTGAGGCTGCAAGACTGAATGGTAGTTCTTTTTTTAGCTCTTTAAGAAATCTCCATACTGGCCAGGCGCGGTGGTTTATGCCTGTAATTCCAGCACTTTGGGAGGTCCGATCACAAGGTCAAGAGAGCGAGACCATCCTGGCTAACACGGTGAAACCCTGTCTCTACTAAAAATACAAAAAATTAGCCGGGCGTGGTAGCAGGCGCCTGTAGTCCCAGCTACTCGGGAGACAGAGGCAGAAGAATGGCGTGAACCCAGGAGGCAGAGCTTGTAGTGAGCCGAGATCGCACCACTGCACTCCAGCCTGGGCGGCAGAGCGAGACTCCGTCTCAAAAAAAAAAAAATCTCTGTATTGTTTTCCATAGTGATTGTACTAATTTACATTCCAAGAATGTATAAGCATTCCCTTTTCTACACAATCTCGCGAACATCTGTTATTTTTTAACTTTTTTGTAACAGCTAAAACTTCTGACTGGTGTGAGATGGTATTTCATTGTGGTTTTAATCTGCGTTTCTCTGATGATTAGGGATATTGAGCATTTTTTCATATGCTTCTTGGCTATCTGTGTGTCTTCTTTTGAAAAATGACTATTCATGTCTTTTGCACATTTTTAATGGAGTTTTTTGTTATGTGGTGTTGTTGTTGATTTCTTTGTAAATTTTCGATATTAGTCCCCTCTAGGATGAATAGTTTGCAAATATTTTCCCTCATTCTGCAGGCTGTTTGCTCCTTTGATTACTTCTTTTGCTGTGCAGAAGTTTTTGCTTAATAATTAAGTCCCATTTGTCTATTCCTGGTTTTGTTGCTTTTGCTTTTGAGGTCTTAGTCATGAATTCTTTGCCTAGACCAATGTCCAGAAGAGTTTCATCAAAGTTTTCTTCTAGTATTTTTCAGGTCTTACCCGTAAGTCTTTAAACCACCTGAGTTAATTTTTGTAGATGGTGGGAGACAGGATTCCAGTTTCATTCTCCTGCATATGGCAATCCACTTTTCCCAGCATCACTGTACCCATCATCTGGATTCTCTATTCTTTTCCACTCATCTATTCATGTATTTTTATACCAGTACCATGCTACTTTGGTTACAGTAACCTTGTAATATAATTTAAAGTCAGATAAGATGCCTCCAGCTTTGTTCTTTTTGCTTAGGACTGCTTTGGCTACTTGGGCTTTTTGGTGCTTTTTCTTATTTTGAGAGGCATCATTATGAACTAATTTGTTTCAGTTATTGCTCTTTTTAAGGCTCAAAGGTACCCATTTTGAGGCGGTGCGAGTCCCCTTCAGGTCGGCTCTTGGACCCTTTTGGTACAACTCCAACAGTCTTTGATAGCTTCTTTGTGTTCCACTATCAAACAAGGTTCCAGACTCGCAATCATCCATTTCCCTAAGAAGCCTTCATCTTTTCAGTGGAAAATGGCATTTTAAAGACCAAAACCTAGGAGTTATAGATATACATTTGCTATTGACTTACTACTGCTTCTAGGCCCTTTCAGTGCACAAAGCTAGGAAATAGAAAAAAAATCTAATCGTGCATTCATGCTGATTTTTTTCATTTCAAATCAACTACCAAGTTTCACTGAGCTTCTTAAATCTTGTTTTTGTTTATTTCTTTGAGACAGGGTCTCACTCTGTTGCCCAGGCTGAAGTGCAGAGGTGTGATGTCAGCCTCTACCTCCCAGGCTCGAGCCATCCTCCCACCTCAGCCTCCCAAGTAGCTGGGACTACAGGCGCATACCACTATGCCCAGCTAGTGTTCGAATGTGTTTTTTTTTTTAATTTTATTTTAGCAGAGATGGGGTTTCACTATGTTTCCCAGTCTGGTCTCAAACTCCTAGGCTCAAACAATCCTCCTGCCTCAGCCTCCTAAAGTACTGGGATTACAGGCATGAGCCACTGTGCCCAGCCTTAGATCTTATTTGTATCTCTTTTTACTTATGCTGAAAACTACAGTTTCTAATAATATTATTTGTTTTATCCAACTACATATAGGAATTTCAACATAATAATATCAATATTTTTACTAAATATAAGACTACTAAGTGCAGGTTAACATATCTCTGTAATTATTTTTGTCTCTACGCTATATCCCACTACAGATGCAGAGTCAATAATATTGTTTTAAAATTACTTAAAACAATACTTCTCTGTGTAGTTTTGCCATCACCTAGATATATACGTAGGTTCATTTCTTTCTAGGTGCTTTTGCATTTTACAGATAGTTTGTGTATTTGTTTTAAGATTTAATTTCTAAAATATTTATATTGGCCAGGTGTCGTGGCTCACGCCTGTAATCTCAGCACTTTTGGGAGGCCGAGGCGGGTGGATCATTTGTCAGGGGTTCAAGACCAGCTTGGCCAACATGGTGAAACCCTGTCTTTACTAAAAATACAGGAAAAAAAAAAAAAATGAGCCAGGCGTGGTGGTGCGCACCTGTAATCCCAGCTACTCGGGAGGCTGAGGCATGAGAATTTCTTGAACCCAGAAGGCAGGGGTTGCAGTGAGACGAGATTGTGCCACTGCACTCCAGCCTGGGTGACAGAGTGAGACCCTGTCTCAAAAAATAAAAATAAAAATAAATTTATATGGTTCTAAATTCAGAATTATAAAAACAAGGTACAATCAGAAGAACTATTTGCCATCTCTTTGCCTTTTCCTTCCCTTCTCCTATAGGTAACCATTTTCATTCGTGTTTAGTTCATCCTCCCATTATTTCTTTTTGAAAATATAAACAAGCATATGGAGAAAATGGTATTTTAAGGACCATAATTTGGGCACTATAGATATTCAATGCTATTGACTGTTTATGTATTTGTGTATATATACAATATTTATATCTACCCTTCCTTTCTTCCTAAAAGTTAGCGTATTTTTTATATATATATATATATATATATATATATATTCTTACGCAGCATGCTTTTAACAGAAAGGTAAATTTTGAAAGTACCCTGAAGCAGTATAACAAAATCTTCATTATTTTTTATAATTGCAAAATGCTTCCCTTTGAATGTTTCATTATTTACTCAGCCAGTTCTATGCTGAAGGACTTTTGTGTTTCCAGTGTATTGTTTTTACAAAGAGTGCTATAAAAAGTAGGTGTGCAAAGGAGTTATTTCTTATTTTGAGTACAGATTCCAGGAAGTAGAACTATTAACAAAGAATAAATATAAATGTGATTGCCCGGGCGTGGTGGCTCCATCTATAATCCCAGAACTTTGGGAGGCTGAGGCAGGTGGATCACCTGAGGTCAGGAGTTCGAGACTAGCCTGGCAAACATGGTAAAACCCCATTTCTACAAAAAAATTAGCTGTAATCCCAGCTACTCAGGGGCCTCAGGCAGCAGAATTGCTTGAACCCAGGAGGCAGAGGTTGCAGTGAGCCAAGATCATACCACTGCACTCCAGCCTGGGCTACAAGAACGAGACTCCTTCTCAAAAAATAAAAATAAAAATAAAAATAAAAATAAAAATTATATATATATATACACACATACATACATATATATAAAAAAATGATTTTGATAGATACAGCAATGTCCTTCTTGCCCTCAAACAGTAACAAGTCAGGTAGAAAAAAATGGGTCTGAAATTTGGTAGTACAAGAGAGATTTTCATTTCTAATTCTTCCTATAAACATTTCCCTCTGGTATAAATTAATTTTGAGTTGTTATATTGACAAAATAAATGATTTAACATATATTGCTGGATAACTTTAGTTCTATATAAAATTTATTTTAAAATAAAAACAGCAGGCATAATAAAAAGTAACAAAAAAAAAAAATTAAAAGTAAAGTGGGATGAATGGTTTACAGACATGAGCTCTTTCCTGGATGTTTCCCTTCTGAAATTCTATGATTTTATGAGCTAAGCTCTTATGGGACTTCCTAAAATAGGACAGATTTCAACCATGTTAAAGTAAATGGAATAAAAAAAGCCTTTACACCAAGCTTCTTTTCATTCCTATTTAATTCTATATTTTTAGCAAGTTTTGATATCTATAGAAAAGAAAGTAACCTTTGTTTAAATACAAATCCTTTTTCTTAGAATAATATATTACATATATAACGTACGACTAAATTTGCAGATCCAATGCCAAATACTCTACGTAGGCAGTTTAACGAGGACTTCCTGTTACCAACTAGCTGCAATGAAAATGATCTTCCTTTAATCTAAAGAACAGGCATCTAACAGGCAGAACCGGATTCTCCAGGTGTGAAGTAAGCAATCTATTTTCACTTGCTATTAACAGCAAAAGTACAACTTTATCTCTTATTTGACTTCATTATTTGGCTTTCAATTAACAACATGAAAACTATACAGAAATTAGCCTGTGCCCTATAAGATAGAGATTTAGATAATTTGCTCAAAACATTACATGAGATGTTCCGATTTTCTCTCAAAGGCAGGACTCCAACACGGCAGGTGGAAAACCAACAAAAGGAAGAAGACAGAAAGGTAAATAAACGACTCTTTTTTGTACCTTTTAATATGAGGTATCCATAGACTGAAATCTGGTTATGCTGGTACATTTAAAAATCGCTCAACAAATAATGAGGGTTACTTGTTTTACTCAGATTTGGACAGGGGTACCGGTAGCTGATTTGTTCACATATATTACTGACATGCTGACTGGGATCTGGGTATAAAGCTCTTGAAAACAGACTACTGTAATAAAAATCAACTTCAGAGAAAAGAAAAATTTTTTAAGTCTTTTAAAAAGTAAGTTCTCATTTTAGAAATACTAGAAAGTCAGATGTAAAAACAAATCTAAAATTATTTCTTTTATAGACACTATGAATGTGCTTACTTCAGAGAACATTTTTATATTTAACTCTGAAAAGCAGCTTATACCCAAATTTGACACATACATATAACCTTAAAAATCTGAGATAATTTGCTATAATGGTCTTAATTGCTTCATTGTTGTTTACTAGACTCTCCTAAAATTTAAAAAATTAGAAAATAATCTTGTGAAAGGGCTACCATAAAATATCGAAGTACTTACTAACCTTTATAATATTTCAATTAGTACATTAAAAATACTTAAGTTACACCATTTAACATAAGGGTTACCATTTAATTGATAGCTTGAAAAATTTAAATCAGCATCATTTAAATACAACCTATGTAGATAGGTTAGATACTTTCAAAGTTATAATTGTTACTATGTTAGAATTTAATAAACATTCCATTTCAAATCAAAATAATAATGACTTTTTTATGTATTTTTAAAGTGGACTTGAGAATTGGCCATATAATACCTAGAACACATTATCTTCATAGCTATGCAGTTTTAAATGTAATATAAAAATCATTTTATGTATGTACAGGTTACTTAAATCAGATAAAAGTTCAAAAATTATACAAGTCTTATATTTAAACAAAATGATCTTAATATGTTGTTAAGTTAATTCAGTAACTTATTTACACTAAATAAAAAGTAGGAAAAAAGCATTGAAAGCTTATATTGCAAAAAAAAGAGTCATAATTCAAAATTAGACAATATATGCAATTTGTATTTTTTTTAGTTTTTAGAAACTACTATTTGGCCCTCACTTTAGCAGTCAAAGAGGTTAACATTACAGTAAGATCCTCTGCTTTCACTTGCACTAGAAAAATGTTGCAAGTTGACTTCATATACAAAAGCAACAGAATATTCCGTTTTCTCTTGGGTAAAAACCGGTCACATTTCTTGAAATGTTTTATTTAATCATTACAATCACTATCAAAAGAAATGGCCTACTTTTAAAAAAATCTATAAATACACTAAGTATCTATCCCAGGGCATATTTCTTAAAGTACTAGGTAATTTTTACTCATGTTTCTGTTTCTAGGGATTTTCAGTGTCTGTAATAGGGCAGAGAACCTTGTGTTTGAGTTGAGTCGTACCAGTTTACTTTTCTATTTCCCAGAACAAGTTGTCAAAGCTGATTATCACACATACGAGTTATTGTTCTTTCTTTTTTAAATATAATGTTTAAGTTCACAGATATAGTTCTTGCTAGTAAAATCCAAAACTATAAAGCAATGCTGTAAGTTAAACATAATAAAAGATGATTCATATTTGTATATAATTCTTCCAATGTAATAAATTTAAGGTACAGAATAGACTGCATAAAATAGTAATTTCATCAATTTCACCTAGTCTAAGCAATTAAATGATTTCACAACTAGGAGCTTCATATTTTATGCTTATATGATTCCCGTTCTTGCATGTTTTAAATTCTAATATGCATGTTTGTCTTACTTTGCCTAGTATTCTAATTAATGAAGATATAAGATCAATAAATTGGATAGTTATACATATAGTTATGAGTATGTAACTACTAGAAAATGCAATTTATATATAGCATATAAACAGATCTGAGTACCTATCTTAAGTCAATTTCTACACAGATGAACAAGGATTCAGGGAAACATTCTCAATTATGTTAATTCTGTAAAGGTAAGCAACTATGACTTCAGTCAAAATGCACAGATACAGAAGTTACTCCCTCTTTCTGTAAACATACAGAATTTGATGTAATCATAAGTTTAAAAAAGACAAATTTTAAAACAACATCACTAAATTTTAGAGTAAAAAAGAGAAGTTTTCAGGTGCCAGAAATGATGAGGAAACATACTTAAAGCCAAAATGAAGAGTAGTAATTAAACCTAATTCCACTGGGCAAACACTTTACCTTAAAGCTGAGGTTTAGAGTTTGCTGCATTACAGGGAACTAAAACTGAGCTTCCTAGATGAAGCAGTTAACTAGGAATAATACAACATAATCTGTATACAAAGACAGGAATAACTCTGTTGACTCACCCAGGATTATAGCAGGAAGTGAGATCCACTTAGGCTACAAAAATCACTAGAGAAAAATAAGGCCTACATTCTCCTACCTGTGCTATAAAGAGCAAACTCCATGGGGCGTTGGTAGTCACAATCAAAAAAATAGCCTCAATGTATCCATAATTTATCAGGACACTTAGAGCATTCTTGTATAACTCCTCAATGAAGCTAGGCTACTGACGAATTTCACTAAATACACTTGCCCACCTTTAACAGAGTGGCCACCAGTCAGTGACCACAGCAAACATAGGAAATTACTCCTAAGAAACTAGAAATAACCTAATTATGTAAAGGATCTTTCACATAAATATTCTCTAAATGTTCAAAAGAAATACAGGCATAGGATTCATTAACCAAGACAAACACAGTACAACCTTTATAGCTCACTTTAAACATCATTTCCATAATATGCATGCCATGATGTATAACACTGAAAGGAAACCCGATTCTATTTCCATGTTTTGCCTTGAATATCAATAATGTATACAGATCTAAAAAGAAAGCAGGATATTTTCTTGTTTTTTGCTTGTAAATTTGTTAAGATTAATAAATACAAAGGACATATTAATATATTTTAAAGGGCTCCTTAAAGTACCTTTTATTCAAATATAAAAGTGTGGTGCTTGTTCAGGGAATATTACATGAATAAAAATCCAGGAAAAAACAACCTTTATACAGGTCAGACTCCAATATCCTGCTTTCCAAAATCAGTGGCAGTAAAATGCACCTTCTCAAAGGCACTTCACAGGAAAATTTACCTTCCCAAAGGCCTGTGTACACTGTGCTCCAATATCAATTTGAAATATCGTCTATTTCTTAAAATATTTTAAAACTATGATGCTTTAGAAAAAAGCTTTTGATTACTTTATTTCTAATTTTTTAAAAAAGAGGCTGGGTAGGCCGGGCGCGGTGGCTCACGCCTGTAATCCCAGCACTTTGGGAGGCCGAGGCGGGCGGATCACAAGGTCAGGAGATCGAGACCACGGTGAAACCCCGTCTCTACTAAAAAAAAAATACAAAAAAAATTAGCCGGGCGCGGTTGTGGGCGCCTGTAGTCCCAGCTACTCGGGAGGCTGAGGCAGGAGAATGGCGTGAACCCGGGAGGCGGAGCTTGCAGTGAGCCGAGATCGCGCCACTGCACTCCAGCCTGGGCAACAGAGCGAGACTCCGTCTCAAAAAAAAAAAAAAAAAAAAAGAGGCTGGGTATACTGGCTCACGCCTATAATCCCAGCACTTTAGGAGGTTGAGGCGGGAAGACTGCTTGAGCCCAGGAGTTCGAGATCAGCCTGGGCAACATAGCGAGACCTCATCTTTACAAAAAATTTTTAAAAAATCAGCCAAGCACAGTGGCATGCAACTTTAGTCCCAGCTACTCGGGAGGCTGAGTGGGAAGGATCACTTGAGTCTGGGAGGTAGAGGCTGCAGTGAGCCACAATTGAGCCACTGTACTCTAGCCTGGGTGATAGAGTGAGATGGTATCTCAAAAACAAAACAAAGCAACACACCCAGAAAAGGAGAAAGATCTTTCCAGTCATAAAACCATTCGAGGGAGTTGTTTCAGGATTTGTTCCAAACCATGCAATCAAGGAGAAAGTTCAAGACGTAGTTCTTGAGGAATGTGAAAATTAAAGATTGTTAAAAGCTACTGAGCCATTGTATAAATATAGGACTTAATTTTCATGAATACAAAATCAAAATCTTTTGTTTGATGCCACTTTCTCTTTCTCTCTCCTCTGAGCTTCTAACACTGTTACTCTTTCTTTTTTAGGGGTGCAAGTCAGTTAAAAAAAAATAATGCAGCAACTAGCACTTCAGCTATATATGCTGTAGCTTTAAGAATTCATAGTCAAGGTAGAAGGATCTCTTGAGGCTAGGAGTTCAAGACCAGCCTGGACAACAAAGTGAGATCCTTTCTCTATTAATTTATTAATTAATTTTTAAAAAATAATTCATAGTGACAAGCTAGTATAAGAGATCTGGTTAGATGACTATGACTTGAATCAGAAGAAAATATAAGAATCCCAATCTCCATATAGTACCAAAGATAAAATTCACTATTTCTTAGAGAGACTTTCTGTAAACATAAGTCTGTGAGATCCAAATTATTTTTCTTCTTTTATAGTGTAAAGTGATCAGTTTGGTCTGATTATATTAAAGAGCCTAATAAAGCTTCAAACAACAACATTACTTTAGAAACTATACGCTGTATTATCTCCTGCTGAAGTTTTTCTTTTAAATAGATATAGTATATATATTAGTAACATAACACAGTATTTGATATAGATAAACATTATTTGTGTGTATTTCACTAGGATAACCAATTTCTACTAAATACACAATAGGGAAGAAAACAGATTCGCAATCAAGTAGACATGCCTAAACGAAGCCTCTGCCACCTTTCAATTGTGTGGCCTTAAGCAAGTCACTTTAAAACTCCCCTTATTTGGACGCTGCTTTTCTTGGACTGGACTGCTTCTTTAATTTTCTTAATGTCTGAAAGGCCACGAAAATAATACAAAGAAAATGGAGAAAATAAAGTTATTAAAGAAATTATTTTTAAAAAAGCAAGTCCCTAAATACATGAGTTTGTAGGTTGAAAAGACCAACTAAATGTTTACCAAATAAATGCATCAAGACCTACCCCAGATCACATTATTATGAAATTTCAGAACACCAGGAATATGAAAAGAAAAAGTCAAGAATTTCATGAAAGGAAATATAAAACCCAGTCTACAAAATATCAGAAAACAGAGGGCAGAATATTCAGGGGTAACAAAACTAGAAGACGTAGTAACAAAACTTTCAAAATTTTGAGGGAATATAATTTCAAACTGAAAATTTTATCCAAAGAAAATATAGTATTCAAGTATAGGACACAATAAAAATATTTTCAGTAATGCAAATTATCATTGCATTTATATTTTGAAAAGAAGCTATAGTACGCTCCCAAATCAAGGAGATAAACCAAGAAAGGTGAGGAACTGGAAATCAAAAAGAGAGAACAGACAAGAGGAAAAGAAAATTCTAACACAATCAGATTACATTAGAAGTTCCAGGAAAGGAGCCTCAAAAGATGAATAAAATGAAATAAAACAAAACTATATACAGTCTATATTTAAATATGTCAAGAAGATATTTTCAATTCACTTCAGCTTTAGAATGAATTAGTGATGCATATGTACAAAATTAAGCAGGTGAAAAACTTTGGTAATTAATATTTTTTAAAAAAATTTAAATGTTATATGTTTCTTGATCTATGTGATAGTTACATGGATGTATTTACTTTGTGAAAAATCATCATAATATACCTTTATGTTTTGGGGACTTTCTGTATATGTACAAATACGTCAACAAGAAGTTTTCTTAAATATATTCATCTTCTATCTCTACACATTGAAAAAACTTAGAAATAATTTAAAAAATTATTTGAGAAAGGAAATATAGCCACAGTACCTTAGGTGACTCACATATAAATAGTATTTGGGTAGTCATAATAATGTAAACACAAAATATTGATTAACCAAAATTTGTGATATAACTGTATTAAAAGGGTAAAGCTGAGGGAGGATGGGGGTATGAGAGAAGATTAAATCTACATCTTCCATAGAAGAAATTCAATATAATAACTAAAACCAAAAAAGCAGCCAGGTGTGGTGGCTCACGCCTGTAATCCCAGCACTTTGGGAGGCTGAGGCGGGTGGATCACTTGAGGTCAGGAGTTCAAGACCAGCTGGCCAACATGGTGAAACCCCGTCTTTATTAAAAATACAATAAATAGCTGGGCGTGGTGGCAGGAGCCTGTAATTTCAGACACTCAGGAGGCTGAGGCAGGAGAATCACTTGAACCTGGGAGGAGGAAGTTGCAGTGAACTGAGATCACATCATTGCACTCCAGCCTGGGCAACAAGAGCAAAACTCTGTCTCAAAAAAAATGAAATAAAATAAAATAAAACTGAAGAAGCAAAAATACCTACACATGCAAATTACCTAGAAATAGGAGTTTAGATGCAACATGTAGCTAAGGAGCTGAAAATGACTGCCTTTATGACTGCCTTTAAGGAATGGAGAATTGGAAAGGGGATGTGGTAGGGAAGGCAAGGGTCAGATATGTATCTTTAGAAGCCTTGACATGACTTGATTTGTTAACCTGTGTACATGCATTATTAATTTGAGGGAAAAATAACATTTTTAAAAAGCTTATTTAAAAAGTTTATGGCTACATTAAATGTGACATGATATCTTCAACACTTTGGGGAATAATTTATTTTCAGCATCAATATGGTAATACTAGAAAGAGCTTATAGATAAGGAAGTCATAAATACCACTAAACCAAAAAATGAACACTAGGAAGCTACACAAGATAAATCACTAAGCCAACTTACTTTAACGTCAAATTTTCTCTATACTGAAAAGAAGACTAGTTCTTATCAGATGTATGTAATAAAACATGGATGATAATTCTGCTTTCACAAAGTTGCCACATGGTAAAAAGTTTCCACAATTAATTCCCAATAGTTTTATGTGTCTTTAAGTATCCGTATCAGGATAATTATCAAATATTTTACACAATATTTGGCCAGGAATGGTGGTTCATGCCTGTAATCCCAGCACTTTGGGAGGCTGAAGCGGGCAGATCACTTGAGGTCAGGAGTTCAAGACCATTATGGCCAACATGGTGAAACCTTGTCTCTACTAAAAATACAAAAATTAGCTGGGCATGGTGATGGGCACCTGTAATCTCAGGCACTCGGGAGGCTGACGCAGGAGAATCGCTTTGAACCCAGGAGGTGGAGATTGCAGTGAGCTGAGATCATGACACTGCACTCCAGCCTGAGTGACAGAGCAAGACCATCTCAAAATATACATATATTATATAATATTAAACACAAAAGAAAAAAACAACTTTTTAACACCTAAAATTGGCAATTCTTTCTATATTACCTTCTAATATTCCTCCTGACTAATCTTCCTTTCATAATTTTTCCAGCTCTAGTATCATTCATAGCTTATTTTTTTCCTTGGATCTTACAAAAACACTAGCTTTGGTTAGCTCTACTCTGAAGGTGGAGAAACTGTTCCTTGCCAGTAAAGTAAAATATAGACAATAAAAATATGCAGAGGAAGAGGGGTATGGAATCTCTTTCCAGCTTAGTCCCCTATTATAAATTGTACTGACTGAACTTTTTTACCTTTACTGTAGCAAATCAGTGGCAAAAACAAAACACTACCAGCTATTTGAATTAAATATTTAAAATAGGTAAAATAAATAGTAGAATGCTCTAAGTGCATTTCAGCAACAAAAACTTGCTCTTAAATATTTCCCACCAATACTTAAAATGCTCAGCAATATAGTTATGTGGCAATAAAGTAATGTACCAAATGTTTCTGAATAAACTTTTAATATCTATAAAACACCTTTCTCTGACAAAAACAGATTTCAAGGTCTTATCCCTTGTGAGGCTCTTTTCCCAACCACTTAACTGACCTAATTGCCTCTTTTCAGAACTCACCCTAGACGATCTCTCTAACACCACTGAAAAAGCTTCACAGCATAGTAAAGCTATGCTATACTATGGTGAAGTTACTATGCTCTAGTATGCTATAGTATAGTAACACATACTCTGCTATAGTAAAGAGTTGAGTCCTTCAAACTATACTGCCAGAATCTGAATCTCAACTCTACCACTAGCTGACAACATGGTTCAATTACTAAAGCTGAGATCTTAATTTCATTATCTATAGAATAGAGATCATGACAATACTTGTTCTTATAAGAACATACAACACACTTAGAACAGTGCCTGGCACATATTAAGAGCTCAAGTAAATCTAAGATATCAAGATCTCAACATAAGAACTCAAGTAAATATAAGACTCATCAGGTGTTGGGAAAGAATAAAGACCCTCTACTTTCTCCTCCAAATATTAACTCTATGAGGTACCAGAATGAATAAAAACCCTTGACTTCATGGAGTTAATATTGGGAGGAGAAAGTAGACAATTAAGTTAACATAAATAAGTAAAATATATGGTATGTTAAATAGTGAAAAATGCTAAGAAAAACAAAGCTGGGAAGGGCCAGAGAGTTGAGAGAAGGTATAGTCCAAGATAGGGTGACCAAGAACATCCTAACTCAGAGAGTGACATTTCAGTAAGGACTGGGTTGGAGAAATATGTCACATACTACATGGGAAAGAACACTTCAAATAGAAGAGAAGGCAAGTGCCAAGGCCCTAAAGCCAGATGGTGCCAGATTTGTGTGAGAACCGCAAGGACAGTGAGACTGAAGCAGAGCAAGGGAGAGTTGTAGGAGATGAGGTCAGAGGGGTGACAGGAGGGTGAAGTCATTGTGGAGCTTTGTAGGCTGTAGTTTTTCCTCTAAGAGATAATGCCAAAGGAGGATTTTAGGCACAGAAATGACATGGTCTGACCTACATTTTAACTCTGAATTCTGTGTTAAGACCAAAGGTTTGTGGTGGGGGCAGTTTGGGGGTAGTTGGTACAAAAAGGAAACAAGGAGAACACTTAGGAGACTACTGTGACGATCAAGATGAAAAGTAACAGGGACTTGGCTGGGCGCAGTGGCTCATGCTTATAATCCCAGCACTTTGGGAGTCTGAGAGGGGTGGATCATGAGGTCAGAAGTTGAAGACCAGCCTTAGCAATATGGTGAAACCCTATCTCTACTAAAAATACAAAAATTAGCCAGGCGTGGTGGCGCGTGCCTGTAGTCCCAGCTACTTGGGAGGCTGAGGCAGAAGGATTGAACCCGGCAGATGGAGGTTGCAGTGAGCCAAGATTGTGCCACTGCACTCCAGCCTAGGAAACAAAGCAAGACTCTGTCTCAAAAATAAAAAATAAAAATAACAGGGACTTGAACCAGGGAGATGGTAAGAGGTGGCTAGATCCAAATACATTTTGAAAGAGATGTTGACAAGACTTGCTATGTTTGCATATGAACTGTAGGGGGGAAAAAAAAAGTCAAGAATGACTTCCGGCCAGGCATGGTGGCTCATGCGTATAATCCCAGCACTTTGGGAGGCCGAAGAGGGTGGATCACCTAAGATCAGGAGTTTGTGACCAACCCGGCCAACATGGTGAAACCCTGTCACTAATAAAAATACAAAAATTAGCCGGGCGTAGTGGCACATGCCTGTAGTCTCAGCCACTTGGGAGGCTGAGGCGGGAGAATCACTTGAACCTGGAAGGCGGAGGTTGCAGTGAGCCGAGACTGCGCCACTGCGCTCCAGCCTGGGGGACAGAGCCAGACTCGGTCTCAAAAAACTAACAAACAAAAAGAGACTTCCGAGTCTCTGGTCTGAGCAACTGAAAAAACAGAGTGGCCAGAAGAGAGATGGGGCAATTTATGGGTTCAGAGGAAGATTATGAGCTCATTTTGGACAGAGGCATTAAATGCAGCTGTCAGGTAGGTAGTTCTTTAAGAGCAACCTAGACTGGAGATACAAATTTGGGTCATCAGCTTATGAACAGCATTTAATGCCTTGAGACTAAAAAATGATGGATAAAAATAAGACTGAGTCTAAATTCTTCCAATATTTACAGGTGGGGGAGATAAGGAGTGGCCAGGAAAAAGAAAATAGTGATAAAGGAAGAGCCAAAAAGGTAAGGGAAAAAACCAGGAGAAACACTTTTCTTCAAAGTGTTTCAAGAAAAGATTGTGTTCAGTGCTGATGGGTTAAACTCATCAAGTCCTATTGCTTCTACTTCCAAAAACATATCCTAATGGTTCCCATTTACTCCATCTCTATTATTCAAGTCTCTTCTGTGAACTACTCCCACCCACTCCCCAGGAAACTATTCTCTATATAGAAAGCAACTACATCTTTTAAAAATATAAATCAGGGCCAGGCATGGTGGCTCATGCCTGTGATCTTAGCACTCTGGGAGGACAAGGTGGACAGATGGCTTGAGCCCAGGAGTTCAAGACCAGCCTGGACAACATAGGGACACCTTGTTTCAGTTTTAAAAAATTTTAAATTACATATCAAAAAGAAAAAAATATATACAAATCACGTCAATATCCTATTTATCTTTTAACTGTCTTCTACTGCACCTAGAATAAAATCTAAACTCCTTCCTTTGGCCCACAAGCCCTTTATGATGTGGTCCATGCCTACCTTTCTACTTCATTCTTCCCATGTTACTATTCTCATTCCTTTCTATCTACATTCACTTTGTTCTTATGCAGTAATTCTGTTCCTAAAACATATCGGTCTCATTCACTGCCTTGGCACCCCAACTCCTATACCTAGAATATACTCCCTTGGCTCTTCATCTGCCTGGCTTCTCAACATTTAGTCTCACATCTCAAATATCTGCTTAGAGAGACCCTGCCTGATTATTGTATCAAAACCTAAAATTATCCCATTTATCTTTTAAATTGTATATTGTCCTTCTCACCCTAAATTATAAATTCCTCAAGGACAGGAGGAATTTATATACTTTATATACTTATATAACTGTAAATTAAATATATACTACAGCATTTAAAACTTTACATATAGTAGACTTCCATGATTATTTCACAAAATACCAGTCCTTTAAAACCAAAGGAATATTACCAGGACATTGGTTTAACCTTTTACCCAAAACAGGCATCATTTCTGTAACATGCCTGATGGGAGTCATCATTCAAGAACATCTTGAAAATCTCCAGTGATGGCAAACTCAGCACCTCATGAAGCAGCTCATTTCATCTTGGGAAAGCAGTATTTGTTTGAAAAGTCTTCTTTACAAATTGAATCAAACCTCTTTCCATGTAATTTCCACCCACTGCCCTTTGGAGTTATGCCAAGTAAGTCTAATCCCACTTGCATATACAGATCTTTGTGTTTTAGAAGATAGTCATATACACACCCTATATCTTCTCTTTTACGGGACAAATATTACCATTTGTTTCAATGAGTCTCCATTTGGCATGGTTTTCAAATCTCATCCTTTCCATGCTAGTTTGGTAATTCCTAATTTATGAATTTCCATCTCAAAATATGCTCAGAAGTTCATAGAGTTCCCCTTACCCTTGCAATTTGCTCTGAATAGCATAGAGTCGGCAGAGTTTAGTTTATCCATACATCAGACTATTATTTATAAAAGCATAATGACTATTCTGATAGTTCTGATAGAAAGCTTAATTAGCCTGGGTAGGTGGCTCACACCTGTAATCCCAGCACTTTGGGAGGCCAAGGTGGGCGGATCACGAGGTCAGGAGTTAGAGACCCACCTGGCCAATATGGTGAAACACCGTCTCTACTAAAAATACAAAAAAATTAGCTGGGCGTGGTGGCAGGTGCCTGTAATCCCAGCTACTCAGGAGGCTGAGGCAGGAGAATCACTTAAACCCGAGAGGCAGAAGTTGCAGTGAGTGAGCAGAGGTCGCACCATTGCATGCCAGCAAGACTCACAGAGCAAGACTCCATCTCCAAAAAAAAAAAAAAAACTTACTTAATTAAAATCTCCAATACTTTCATAGACACTATTGTGAACCCAAGGGTCTTCTACTCTGTAGATATGAAAATATTTTTCTTATAGCTAGATGAAATATTTTAAATCTATTCCTGTTAAATATATTTGTTATTTTTACTATAAAGTTCCACACTATTTTAATCTTTGAATCCCTACCCTGTACTTCAACATACTAAAGATTCCTCCAAATTTTATACCATCTACACATTTGTTAAGTATGCCTCCTATGACAACATCCAGATTAATAAAAATATTTCCATAAACATATCAAACACTGAGTCCTACAGCATAACAGCATCACATTCAGAGACTTTTTTTTTTCTGGTTGATATTAATATTATATGTGGTCCAATGAGCTATTTGTACTCCCTAACAGCCTCTTCTTATCTTCAAAAATGTCAAGAAAGACATTTCTAAAATCAAGATGCTCTGTGATAATAGTATTTTACTGCTTCTTAATCCCTTCATTTTATATATATGTATGTCATTTCATGTATATCTATATCATTAAATATAAGTTAGGTACATCAATTTGATTCTTACGGATAACTACCAACACAGCATGTGATAAGTGTCAATATTATTATTACTCCCAAAATAAGATTTTATATAAATATATTCTCATGTTTATAAAAGTATCACCTAATACAAATCGATATAAATTTTGTTCTAAGACAGTCTGGATATCTTTGCAAAAGAATGTTAAGAATGAGAAATCAGCATAATCAAACCAATGTTTTCACATATATGCAACAGTTAGAAAAAACACTATGCCAAGTAATATGTTAATTCAGAGGCTTCGGAAAACTTAAAATAAATTCAATATTATCCATATAGCTTAACGTTCTCATATAAAATCTGTACTGTCATTACAATGGTTTTAACTGAATGACGCATATTTAGCAAACCGAGTATTTTTTAATATTACATTGGCCAAATTAACCGGAAACACTATCTTGAGTAACAAAGGCACTTTCGGCATCTGAAGATTAATCCTATAAGTTGAAGGTATAGTCAAAAGCATTCTTTATTTTAAAAAAAACTATCATGTGACAGATATTATGACCCTGAAGAACTTACTTTTGGCCAACTGTGTCTGCATCACTGCTTTCTCGGCTATTGCACACAACTAAATGGCACTCACATGCAAAGTAACTTACAGATTATTTTATATTACTTTCCCTATTTAAATGGCTTTTATGAGGAAACTCATGGATGTTTTCTAATTTTTTAACCTCATTCGAGAAAACTAGGAGAATTTTTGCTGGGATATAGACAGTTATGTGAAGTCAACTGCTACTGGGGAAAAATATCAAATTTCTACTTGTTCAATACAAAAATTTTTGCTTCTTAGGAGGAAAGGGAAGATGAAAGACCGACTACAAGAACTAAAGCAGAGAACAAAGGAAATTGAACTCTCTAGAGACAGTCATGTACCAACTACAGAAACAGAGGAGCAAGGGGTGTTTCTGCAGCAAGCTGTTATTTATGAAAGAGAGCCTGTAGCTGAGAGACACCTACATGAAATCCAAAAACTACAGGAAAGTATTAACAATTTGGCAGACAATGTTCAAAAATTTGGGCAGCAGCAGAAAAGTCTGGTGGCTTCAATGAGAAGGTTTAGTCTACTTAAGAGAGAGTCTACCATTACAAAGGAGGTAAAAATCCAGGCAGAATACATCAACAGAAGTTTGAATGATTTAGTTAAAGAAGTTAAAAAGTCAGAGGTTGAAAATGGTCCATCATCAGTGGTCACAAGGATACTTAAATCTCAGCATGCTTCAATGTTCCGCCATTTTCAGCAAATCATGTTTACCTACAATGATACAATAGCAGCAAAGCAAGAGAAGTGCAAGACATTTATTTTGCGTCAGCTTGATGTTGCTGGAAAAGAGATGTCTGAAGAAGAAGTAAATGATATGCTTCATCAAGGAAAATGGGAAGTTTTTAATGAAAGCTTACTTACAGAAATCAATATCACTAAAGCACAACTTTCAGAGATTGAACAGAGACACAAGGAACTTGTTAATTTAGAGAACCAAATAAAGGATTTAAGGGATCTTTTCATTCAGATATCTCTTTTAGTAGAAGAGCAAGGAGAGAGCATCAACAATATTGAAATGACAGTGAATAGTACAAAAGAGTATGTTAATAATACTAAAGAGAAATTTGGACTAGCTGTAAAATACAAAAAAAGAAATCCTTGCAGAGTACTGTGTTGTTGGTGCTGTCCATGCTGTAGCTCAAAATAAAGAAGCTATTTTAAAACTTTTTCCAGCTTTAGGGTAAAAGATAGCTCATATTTCAGTGTCTTGTATTGTTTTTCTTCATCTTGTGGATCCATTCACATACCTTTCAGCACTGTCAAGTTGTAATTTTCCCCTTTAACCCTAATCCACTAAAATTACAGAAACTTCTGTAGCCAGTTACATAAAACACGCTTTTATTTAATTAAAGTAAAAAAAAATACGGTTACCATCAACTCACAAATTAACTATTGAAAAGGAGATGAATAATCTTAAGTCTTCTGGTCAGGTATCAAGCTCTATATTATACATTTTTCTCATCTGTTAAGTAGTAATGACTACCTAGGCAATCCAATTGGCTGATTTGAGAATATTTTAATAGTTAAGAATCATGCTACAATAAAGCTAAACCAAACTAGAACCTTTATCAAATCTTTTCTCTTTTTTTTGAGACAGAGTTTCACTCTGTCATCCAGGCTGGAGTGCAGTGGCATGATCCTGGCTCACTGCAATCCCCACCTCCTGGGTTCAAGCGATTCTCGTGCCTTAGCCTCCCAAGTAGCTGGGATTACCGGTGTGCACCACCACACTCAGCTAATTTTTGTATTTTAGTAGGGGGCGGGGGATTGCCATGTTGGCGAGGCTGGTCTCAAATTCCTGACCTTCAGTGATCCGCCCCGCCGGGCCTCCCAAAGTGTTGGAATTACAGGCGTGAGACACCACGCCCGGCCCTTTATCAAATCTTTTATCCTCAGAAGGTAACTTAACTCAATGTCAACAGATCAGAGAAAACTCAACTATGTACTTAAAGAATCTAATTAGTAAGTGGGAGCTGAATCTAGCTTAAGGAATAAGAAGATGAGTTAAGGTATTGCTTTCTTGAACTTGGGTCCATACAGGGCAATGTATTACAGATTGGCAGATAAAGTCAAATTAAAGGCAACCATATTCTTGAATATTTTGCCATGACTTCAGGAGAATGCTATACTATACTATGAGTTAGGGATACAGTCTAAATTCACACAACACAGGGATAGAGTTTTGCAACTCACATTCTAGTGGAGAAAGCAGAGTAACAAATACAAACATTAGATAATGTTAAGTTCTGGACAGAGACTTAAAAGGGCAATGAGATGACACAGAGACTATCATGGGGTGCTTCTTTAGATTGGGTAATCAGTGAAGACCTTTCTGAAAGGTGAAATTTAAGTGAAGATCTGAATGAGTACCAGGGAGGGTATAATTCCAGGCATAGGAAACAATTAGTACAAAGACTCTGAGGTGGGTCTGACTAACTCTATGCAAAGAAAAATAACAATCCAGCTAGGGCATAATCAGAAAAGAGCAGTGAGATACGAGATGAGGTTAAGAAAGGTAAGGGCTAGATTTAAGGTTTTGTAAGCCATGGAAAGAAGTCTGAAGTTTACACAAGTGTAATCAAGACAAGGCTCTCAGATTGTTCTAGACCTGATAGTAATATTATATAATTTACAATTGAAAAATCATTCTATCTACTGTATGAAGAATGGGTTAGAATGGATTTGGGGGAGGTGAGTAGAAGACAAGCACATAGGTATAGAAAACAATTAGAAAGTTAATACAGTAGGAAGAAATGATGGAGGCTTGGACTAGGATGGTAGAGAAGGTGGTGATGATGGCAGCAGCAACAGTAATACTAAAGAGGAATAAAGTATTCGCAATATCCTAGTCACTGTTCCAGTTATTTCAGAGTAGATAAAGTATGAAGTAGACACTATTTTTACAATTTTACCAACATGAACACTGAGGTGCAACAAAATTAACCTGTTCCAGGTCACAGAAACTGCATATAGTGAACGGGATATGAACCCAGGCAGTCTGACTCCAGAACCAGCTCTTAACCATTCTCTTACTATAAACTATATAGTGGTGGTAGAAAAAGTTAGATTAACTTCTGATAGACTTAAAAGGTAGAATTATAGGATACAGATTAGATGACGATGCCATTTACTGAGATGGGAAAAGACAGAGATGAAGGTTTCAGAATTGGCCACGACAAGGAAATCAAAGATGCTATTTTGGTCAAGAGAATCTGAAGTGACTATTCAAAGGTCCAAGTGGAGGTTTTTAGGATATTAGCTGTATCAGTAGGAGCGCTTGAGATATGTCAGGACCAGAAGTACAGAGTTGGGTCATTTGAGTAAATAAATGGTATGTAAGGTGGTATGAAAAATATGTGGATGTAAAAAACTGGAAGTGCAGAAAAAGGCCTGGAGTATTTCAAAATTTAGACTCAAAGCAGAAGAGGAGTTAATAAAAGAAACGAACTGAAACTGTCAATGAGGTATAAGGAAAACCAATGCAAAAGGAGAGTTTAAAGAAGGAAAAATGTGAAGAAACAATCAATTTTAGGGAAAATAAGAGCAGTAAAATAACAATAGATTTGGCAGCACGAAGACAATTACTGACTCCAAGAAGAACAGTTTCAAGGAATTACAGAAATAGAAGCACAAATGGAGTCTGCTGAGGAAAGAATGTGACATGAAGAAATGCAGCAGCCACTACAGGCAACTCTTTCCAGAAGTTTGAATAAGGTACTATAAAAAGTAGTCAATAGTTAGAGAGAGATGTAGAGTGAAAGGATTCCACTATACTTCCAGGCAAGAAACAGGAAAGCACATTCTGCTGACAGGAAAGATCCAGAGAGAGAAACTCCTCACATAAGAAAGGGAAGGGATACTATTATACAAAAGCAGAAAGAGGTGGAATATGAAGCACCTGGACTTGGGTAGGAAGAGAAACCCTTCTTCCACACTACAGAAGAAAAGGCAGGGTTTAGGAATAAAAGCAGACAGTTGAGTAAATGTGGTAGTCGGAAACATGAGAATATTCTTGTGTGATGGTTTCTATTTCCTTAAAGAACTCAGGCAAAAACTGAAAGCACAGTGGGCTTAAGGGAGAAGAGACAGAGAGGACAAGGAGGGAAACTGTCATTTTGAGAGAACAACAAACATTCTAAGATAAGAAGATAATCAGGCAGTCATGATAACTTTAATATGAATCCAGCCATCACAGTCATGTATTACTAATCTATCAATGTTTGGCATTTGTGTGCTAACATAGAATGTGTAGGTGACTGGGTCTGACCAAGACGGTGGCTTTTCCAGGTATGTACGATGAAGGAAAATATGTCAAGAGAGGTTGGGGTATTTGAAATGACTGAATTTATATATGTAAAATATGTATTTCATAAACAATACAAAATAATTTTTAATTTATAAAATATCACAAAATTGAAGAGCTTTCTATTGTGTCAATTATCAAGCATCGCTAGAGAAAAAGATGTTTCATGTATCTCAGCTTCAAATGTTTGAGAAACATTATAAAAAGGGATAAATTTAAAAGATTATAAACTCCACAGCTGACTAGTGATAGATGTCTCTCTGTTGTTCCTTCTAAACATTTTTCTACAGCCTTAGTGATACATGTTTATAATTGTTACTAAATTGTTTATTATGAAAACTGATAATATTAAGTACTATTTAATATTCGTTAGTATAATTACATCCAGATGAATTTGTAAAATAGTTTTCTTTCAGCATTTTATATTAGAACATACTGCTTTTAAAGCAAGACTTAAGCACACAAAATAAATCATCACAAAGCAATGTATCAGAAACCGTTTTCATTGTTCTGTTTTCAAACCAATTAGTATCACCTTACACAAAACAGATAACATGATAACTTAATTAGTTGTAGCATTTTGTGTATTTTATATACACACTTAATAGGCACTAAAAGTAGTTATTTTTTCTTAAAATAATAACCTTAAAGGGAAAAAATTCTTAAAATAGGTGAAGGCAAAATATTGCAATACTGAAGCATGCAATAATAAAAATAAAAATTACTATAAGCACTAAAGCTCATACTCATAACTACCAAACTGTGCCATTTTCTGTAATTACAAGCTTCAAAGAGCTTGAATTCGTAAAATGAAATATTTTGAAACTGGTTCTCCTAATTCATCTACACCTGGACACAGTATATTATCAATAACAATATTCATATCCACCATCGCATTTACAGAACACTAGTGAAATACTGTAATAGAGGCTTGAAAGGCTTTAAATGCATTATTTGGAATTCACATAACAAGACAGGTATTATAATCCCTATTTACAAGTGCAGACATAAAAGCTTAGAAAGATTAAATAACCTATTTAGGGCCTTTCTGACTCACACTTTCTCCTACACCAGTAGTTGTCAATTTTTGCTATGAATCAGAATGATCTGGAGAGCATGTGTGGGAAAAAAAACCCCAAAGTACATCTGGTCTCACTGTCAAAAATTTTGAAGGTCTAAGCTGATGCTGATGCAGGTGGTATGGACAATATCTTGCTGCCTAGTAACACTGCCAAAGAGTTTTTTTCTGTGTTATTTTGTTTTTAACTAGATTGAAGTGATAGGGGCGGCAGGGATGGGGACCTCTGTAGGCTCCCAGTGCTTAAATTACCTACAAAATCAATCAGCTGAGAAGCTTTACTGTAAATTACAGTTGCTATGAAGGTGAACGTCGTTAAGAGACAAAAGGACACATTCAATAAGGACATCTGGAGATGAGTCAACATATAAGTAAACGACATTAATGAAGATGACAGTGTGGTAAGGCTCCACTGAAAGGGGAGAAATCTTAAGCCAATAGGCCTTATAAATTCAATAAGTAGGAGTTTCAGAGGGTGAAATTAGTAAATTAGGGGGCTCACCACTCTATCTAAGGATCAACTGATTATGTGACATAGGCAGACCATAATTGCATATTTATAGGTCTCCAGCATTCTAAAACAGGGCTCGGATTCTCTATTATTTAGACGTCTAACATAATAAAAGTACGTTTGATTCAATTTCTGATAACTGTATTGGGATAATCATAACCTATCTAACTTCTCCTGGGTACTTACAATAAGGAATATTACTAAAAGAAACTTGCCAACTAACATTATGCTGTAATACTGCCTAGAAGGAAGGTGAGTCAGATAAGCATATAAAGGTTGGAAACAAACAAAACAAAATCTCATGTTGAAAAAGT